TGCTCTGAAACTACAACATCTGGTACCTGGACAGCTGCTGTGGACAACACATAATGGGCTCACACCGATTGATCTCGAATGTGGTCGCCTTTCCTAAGACTACCTACATCACTGTGGCCAACAACGAGTGGCTCAATGCCAATGCATGTGGCATCGTGGTGCTCAGGGCCCACAATTACAAAATACAACACTTCATATATATCCCCTATAAGCAAATAAGTGCCTATATCCAGAGGATCACGGTATTATGAAAGCACGAAATGGGTGTCTGTTACAAGGCCAGACAAAATGATTCATGCACTAGTTGAAACAGTAACCACGAGCAAAATATACATATAATCAGTATTGTGGAAACGGAGGTCCCAAAATATAACCAACTTATTTCAACCAACGGAACACTAGCATTTTTTTCACTCAACAAATTTTGCATCATACAAAGAATACACATATTAGATTTACTCTTTGTTTACAATCGTGTAAACTATGTTAATGCAGCGATATTCAGGCGCTCTGCATTTATCAGTTTATGTGTATGTATTTATTTCGCCGTCTTGTGAAAGAGCAAGGTGCGAAGTTTCAGGTTGTGTTACGTTTTAAGGCAAAGCAAAACCATCATAATAACACATTTTGCACAAGCATGCGGGTTACTACAGTATAGGAAGAGCCAAGCTACGGCGTCATCTCTGTCCTATGCATGCCGAATGGAAAAAACGAAACTGCCACCTACATTTTGCATAAAGAAAATAAGGTCGAGCAAAATCGGAATGACAAACAGCACATTACTACGAAACAAGGAAACAAAGCACAAATGACCCATGAGAACTGTAGTGAATGCTGACTATGACGTACAACTGAGGGAAAAAACCGTCCGGATGTTTGGCACGAAGTTGGGTTTTTAGGCTTTAAGACTACTGTATGGTAAATTTGCAAGATGCATGGTGGTACGCGTTGGGAGAGGCACAAAGTGGATGCGTTCACAGCACTAAGAACTAGAATAGTACATTGGATCCAACTCATATTCCAAAAGATATACAACGAGTACATCCGGACAGTTTTTTCCCAGGACAAAGAGCAAACTTCCGAACAACGTTTCTAGTACCTAGTCCACCTACTCTTGGCGTTGATCACCATCCGCACCCTCCTAGGCATGTTATCTATGGGGTTAGTGCAGACCTTTGCATGAAGCTTCTCGCACTCTTCCTGGACCCACCATTTTGCATAAGGGGGTGAGCACAAGGAAAATTGCAAAGTATTTGAGCGTATGCATAAGTATTGTACACAAATTCTGAATGAATGTTATCTCAGAGACTAGCCAAGCCGAGGGGTGGCCAAAGATGCCATTAGTTAAATGGTCCCGGCTTATCATGGGTCGTCTTCGTTGTATCGTTCTAGGGTAAAATCACGAATAGAGTGGCAAAATCTAGCATTCCCGCCACGAATCTTAGGGTAACAGAGCACGGTCGACTGAACATCCTTTCACTGTGTGAACCATGTTAAAATCCGCGGGTCTAGTGACGGGGCAGCAGTCGAAGAAACCTCGACTGTTTGGGAAGAATATCTGGATTGAGGTCTGGTGAGAAAAAGGGTCACTCCAGCGCAACATACTTATGCTCTCCAAGGCATTCCATGTCATTTTCCCTGCCTAGGCTTGGAATGGCTCGGAGAGCATGGATATGTAGCTCTGGAGTGCCCCTCTTCCTCACCAGACCTCAACCCTGATATTCTTCCCAAACAGTCGAGGTTTCTTCGACTGCTGCCCCGTCACTAGACCCGCGGATTTTAACATGGTTCACACAGTGAAAGGATGTTCAGTCGACCGTGCTCTGTTACCCTAAGATTCGTGGCGGGAATGCTAGATTTTGCCACTCTATTCGTGATTTTACCCTAGAACGATACAACGAAGACGACCCATGATAAGCCGGGACCATTTAACTAATGGCATCTTTGGCCACCCCTCGGCTTGGCTAGTCTCAGAGATTACATTCAATCTGAATTCGTGCACAATACTTATGCATACGCTCAAATACTTCGCAATTTTCCTTGTGCTCACCCCCTTATGCAAAATGGTGGGTCAAGGAAGAGTGCAAGAAGCTTCATGCAAAGGTCTGCACTAACCACATAGATAACATGCCTAGGAGGGTGTGGATGGTGATCAACGCCAAGAGTAGGTGGACTAGGTACTAGAAACGTTGTTCGGAAGTTTGCTCTTTGTCCTGGGAAAAAACTGTCCGGATGTACTCGTTGTATATCTTTTGGAGTATGAGTTAGATCCAATGTACTATTCTAGTTCTTAGTGCAGTGAACGCATCCACTTTGTGCCTCTCCCAACATGTACCACCGTGCATCTTGCAGGTTTACCATACAGTAGTCTCAAAGCCTAAAAACCCAACTTATTGCCAAACATCCGGACGGTTTTTTCCCTCAGTGTATATTTAGAGTGGAAGCTCTCATAAGAACACCATGTATTAGCATTGCCAAGAATTTAAAGATACGTTGACTATGATGCAACACTCTATGAAACACATAATGCGCATCTCACAAGGAAGCTCGAAGACATATAATGTGTAGGAAATATAGCATCGTAGGAAATATAGCATCGTAGCATCGTAGGGATTTTGATGAAAGTGAATAGGAAGCAATAACATATGACTAAGGTGAAACCTCGTGTACTATTTTTCCATGGACTTGTTCAATGAATGATTAAGCCTCATCCTCTCACACCCGACCAAGAGCGCCCATATTTTTATAATGTATTGAGGTTTATGAGGCTCAAGAACTAGTTTGTAAGAGGGTGAAGCAAAACTCTGATTGTACAGTTTTTTTTTTAATTAAAGGCAAGTTTTTTTTGGGAACCCCAGAAGTCTAGGGAAATTGCATATACTTGGTAGATCTGGATGCCTAAAACGAATCTAGGGGCATGCAAGGATAGTATAGCTAGATAATTATATGCGTATACCCTTTCCAATATCACCCTGGGGTTCTTCGATAGCGGGGATGGGGGGGGGGGGGGTGGGGGGGGGGGGGGACTTCTGTGGGGATTCGTGGGTAGATGCTGACGTGTATGGTCCTACTAATTGATCTTGTACTATCACCGAAAACCTCCAGCACCCCCTTCTTTACACACTCCAACAATTGCTGCTTCTCCGCGTGCCCTACGCGAAGGTGTAACAACTCAGGAGACACTGTTTCCACCTGCCTCCAACGAGTGCTACAAGTGGCTTCCTCAGCTGCACCCATATGTGTTGTGTCATGCATAGGCTTACTAGCTGGAACAAGGTATAAACCCTTGTCCAACTTTGCCTCCATCACCACAGCTTTGCCCTTTCTAACAGTGCACCCTCCCTCAGTGAAAGTGCAGCTGTATCCTTGCTTGGCCAGCTGCGAGCATGAAAGGAGCTTTGCAGCCAAACCAGGGACATGAAGGACCCCCTTCACATCCATTAGCCCCCCCTCCTTCCCCTTAATGGTGATCGTGCCGATGCTAGTTGCTTGCAGCAAATCTTCGCTCCCAACAATTCATTCCTAGAGTTTGGTGGGAGGGATGGTAGTGGGTGAAGAAATCACGGCGAGGAAGCATCCCCGAAGTAGCTCCAGAGTCTAGAACCAGGAAGTTGGGATCAGCCGATGCACGGCCAGCGAGAGCTGCATCCTGACCTAGCATGAGAAGCGAGAAACCATCATCCGAGGAGTCCTCTTGGCCCTTCCCCTTCTCATCCTAAGCAGCTGTGACCGTTGCTCCCTTGCTGCCCTTCTTATTCCAGAGCCCTTTTTTCATCCTTTTCTCCACCCAATCAGGTCTAGTCACTGGTGGGGCCACTCCAGAGTAGCCGTGAGGCTTCCATCCCTCAGGCCTACTCCAACAGCTCTTCCAAGAGTGCTTTTTGTTGCATTTGGGCACAAGGCATTTGTCCAACTCTTTCTTCCTCCCCCCACCTCCTTGCTGTTGATAGCCTTTCCTGAAGGACGCTTTATCTGCTGCACCCATGCCTCCTTCTAGGCCTCTTCTAGCATCAACTTTGCGAGCCTCATCAGATATTAGAACCTCCCAAATCCACACCTTGGTCCATTTCTGCTGCTCGAGGCGAAGGTACTGTAGTAATGCCTCATTGGCCACTTGATCCAACCCGTGGAGCGTGGTATACATGATCTCCTTCTCATCTACCGTATTATCCAGCTCCTCCAAAGCCCTCACATTCTCATCCACCTCTGGAGATACTGAACCATGGTCTCCAGGTCCCCACAGTTCCGTTCCATGGTGTAAAACCGCTTCGGTCAAGTAACCACACTTAGAAGCCCTTTCTGCAAGTGCCTGTCTTGCACTCTTTTCCAAGCTGCAGCCGCTGCACCTTCCTTCCCCTTCAGGTCAATCAGCATCTTAAGAAGCTCAAGCTGCACTTTCAAAGCCCAACATGCCTGGCGATCCGTTCAATCCCATGCTTCTTGAGCTTTGAGCAACTCCTCGCTACTTGGTTGCGACCTTCCGGTTCGAGTCACAACTGGTCCTCCTTCATTCCCAGTTCGATCCATCCAACACACTTTCTAGGTCCTTAATACATAGCCATAGTGTGAACTGGAACCTCCATAGCGAAAAGTCCGAGCCGGTAAACCTAGGGGGGCCATCCAACTTTTGGGCCATCTCAAACCCTAGATCTGGAGCACTTCAAGCCTCTCTAGATCTCTTCCAATGGAGAAAAAAAACGTCCTCTAACCGTGGCTCTGATACCACTGATGGAAATCGTGCAAATCTGGAGAAAATTAATTAGAGATTAAGTCGGACGACTTCAATGGAACCTTTGCATGCAGCTCAAGTAACTTCTAGAAATGAGCTTATAAGCGTTGGAAAGGTGTTAATCTCTACTTTCAAGAATGGTAAAGCACGTTCATAACCAAGATCTGAGCCGCCGATTATGACGAAATCAGTGCGAGGGGATATTCTTGTGATTTAGCTAGGCAGCCATGAGTCACCTAGTACGAGAGGGCAAGCAGTTAGATCTGGAAAAGTTCGAGTATGTCATTTTCACACACCACCAACCCTCGTCCTGGACCAAACACTAAGAACCTCAAGTGCCACAACGAACTGATCGATCAACTTCGCACAGCTCGCTTCTTCTCGAAGAAATATTTACGAGGGGGTTACCACCAGATCCGCGTAGTCGCGCGTGACTGTCATAGTACCGCGTTTTGTAGTAGGTACCGGAGTTACGAGTATGGAGTTATGCCCTTCGGCCTTACGAACGCCCATGTAACTTTTCAAATGACCATGAACCAGATCTTCGTCCGGATTTCAGGGTAGTTGATTTATGTTTCATCCGGATTCGGGTACAAAGTTACTTTTAGCCGAGTTACAGCAAACACTGACTCGGACATGTCACGATGTTCAAGGTCCAAACAGGGTAACATTTGCGGAGTGCCAGAAAAAGAGTGTACTTTTGGACTACCCTAAGTTTCGTGGGTGTGGGTAGGAGGACTATCTCTGTTTGGGAGGGACTTAACCGAATTCCTCTATGGTCGAGGAAGGAATGTTCCTGACTGTGACGGACTTATCCGAAATTTCGGGGTTTCGGGTGGTGCGGGTGGGAGGAGCACGGTATGTCTGTGTGTGGGGGACTTCGCCATATTTGCTTGGTTGCGGGATTAAGGAAGGAATGCTGCTGGAAGTTGGGGACTTCGCCGAATTTTCTGAGTTTTGCTGGTGTGGGAGTTATGTGTGTGAGGGACTTCGGGGGCTCTGTGGGATTGTTTTTGAAAGTTGGGGACTTAGCCGGAAAAATGTCTCTGCCATCTTGGGTGCGAGGAGGGGGGAAGGGGAGGGGGGTTGGGGGGGAGGGGTTTCTTGGCAGTTGCAGCCGGATTGCCCCCCCAGCGAATTCTGATCTTCCCGGAGCCCCCCGCAACACCACTTCTATAAATTCTGGAAACCCCGATAACTCTACCCGTTCAAAATCCCGAACGAGGCCAGCGCCAACTCTTAATGTTTTTTCATTTCGGGATAATTACCCTTGAAAAATAGGCCCTGCACCACGTCTGCGTAGGTGCACTGCGTTCGAACAACCATTGCCACTCGCATTTACTCACATGCGTCCAACGGGTACTGTTCGCTTCCACTATACAATCCAGTTTTGCCTGGCAAAATAGCCATCCACGCTACATTTTGTCGCGTCTCGGTCAGTGACGTGGAGTGTAAGGTAGAATAGGTGTACTTGTAGGGACCGCTCCCTCAGGGCGCTTCTGCGATCAAAATCAAATCCCGAGGTGCATGCAGCCAAGCCATGCGGGGTGTTCTAGCTTAGCTTGCTAGCCCTTCTCGCAGGGCAAATTTCGCTATCGCGTAGCTAATCCCTCACCTCGCCACTTACCCTGGAGTAAGCGAGCTCGCCCAGTCTTCAACAACAGCGTTTCTTGCGTGCTGACCATGGTTCCTCCGCTCAGCAGCGTTTCTTACGTGGCTCCGCTCTCCCCGTCGCCGCTGTCGCAATCCCTTTCCATGCGACACTATCGCTGGGCTCTTCTCGCCGTGCCTCTCGCGCTCGCTCTGTTTCTCGCTCTCCCACGCGCTCATGCCGTTTCCATGGCTTCCGCTTCTCATCCCAAAAATCACGAAAGGCATTTCGACCTGGGGGGAGTGGGACACCTGTGGGTTACCCACCCCCAGACAACCCTAAGTTCCCCACAAGACCCCGCAGGGTCACATGTTGCTAGTGGCGACAGCCGAGAAATTCGCCAGAATCTCGCCCAGCATCGCGCGGGTTGGATCCAGCCAATAGGGTGTGATTTCCGTTCGTTGAGACTTGTGGGTTACTTCACAGGCTCGACACGGACCTGGGCACCACCCGAGGCTCGGCCCACAGGCCCACAAATGAGCCCCGCATTCGCGACTTCTGTATGACTCGAATAGAGTACTAAACCAATTGGCGGTTCTGATGCAATGGCTATTGGGATGATATACCAGTCAATCAGACAAGGTTGTTGTCCTTTTTTTCAAATGAATGCTAGAGAGTAATACTACGCAACTCAAAATGACACACACGCACGTCCAACAAAAATCGGCGACTAAGCCCCAACAATCCACAACAACCCGAGCAACAGTACAAACCGTTACAGGAAATATCAAGACGTCACATGAGCCTCACACATTGGCGAGAACTCACACCCCACCTTTTCGCAACCCATCGGCCCATTTATTCAGCAGCCATATGCGTGGGCGCTCAAACGACCTCACAACATGCACAGTGCGGACAATGCTGGTAATAGGTACAACATCGTGAGCCTCGGGCCTACTCATCTCTTGGAGCTGCACACAGCCTGTAGGCCCATCCACACCAACCCGCTTCCATGGCTTGATGTATGCCACCTCACGCTCAGCGTCTCCCAGGTCCGCACCCAGCAAAGTGGCACGCAACAGTAGGACCAACTTGCCATACCGCAGCTCTGAATCCCCTCCACGGTACTCCACACTGGAAAATGCTGGGCTTCCGTGGTGGCGGACCGCTGCTCGGGCATAGCAGGCCGACTGCTCGCCCGTGCGCACGTCCCTGGCTGGAAGCGCCACTGCCCGATGTGCCTGAGCAAGAGGAACCACAGCCACCGTGTGAGGAGTTTTCAAAACCAGCGGGTGGAGATCACGCAAAATGCAGACTGAAGCAGCGAAGGGAGGTATTTAGGGTTGCACACCTGGGCAGTTGCACTGCTGTATCCATGCTGCTGCATGACCTGGGGATACCGAGAAAGGCAACCCTCTGAAGCGGCGTTGTACTGTGCCAGAAGAGCATCCCCCCTTGTATGGGTCCCAGTCCCATCTGTCAAGAGAGCACTAGTGCTGGTAAGCGTGTTGGATCTGGAGAGACGTGCCTGCAACCGAATGGGTGTATGGCGCCGCGTGGGGAGGGTGTGGGGAGGTTGTGGGTGGGGGTGGGGGGGTATGGGGAGGGAGAAGTGGCCATTAGGACCCCAGTGCCTACACCCGTGGACACACTGCAAAACATTCTGTCATGACATGGGATACATAGTGACAAGAGATGACTTGCCTGCAGGCATCGACTGCACTGTGGACCAATGGGACCTCTCCTGCCCTACTCCGGTGAGAGTGGCCAGGCCTGTCTCTCTGGCACCAAGCAGCACTGTAGGCAGGGCACGCTGGAGCCACGGCATGCAAAGGGCTGAGGGTGCCCCTCTTTACCCAGTGCTTGCATAGGGGCAGGGCAGCCAAGAGCAGCGACAAGCCCTGCAGAATGTGCAGAGAGTACCACTCCCCCATAACCACTGGCTAGAACAATCACGGTTATTAGGCTCCCAGAGAGGGTCTCCACTGCCAATCTTGTGCCATTGTACGGCACAGCCAGATCACACATGCCACTCTGGTGCCATGGCAGGCAGAGTCGGTTTAGAAAACCACTCTGGTGCCATGGCAGGCAGAGTGGGTTAAAAATGCAACCCTGGTGACAGGGCAAGCAGAATGGGTTCAGCCTGCCACCCTGGTGCCATGGCAAGAAGAGTTGGGCCAGATAATCACTCTTGTGCCAAGGGAAGCAGAGTGGGACCAGATAACCACTCTGGTGCCACGGCAATCAGAGTGGGAGCATAAAATCACTCTGGTGCCATGTCAAACACAGTGGGCACAGATAACCACTCTGGTGCTGTGGCAAGCAGAGTGGGTTCATAAAACCACTCTGGTGCCATGGCACGAAGAGTGGGCTCAGAAAACGACACCGGTGCCATGGCGACTATAGTGGGACCAGAAAACCACTCTGCTGCCATTGCAAGCAGAGTGGTTTCAAAAAACCATTCTGGTGCAATGGCAAGCAGAGTGGGCTCTGAAAACCACTCTGCTGCCATTGAAAGCAGAGTGGTTTCAAAAAACCATTCTGGTGCAATGGCAAGCAAAGTGCGCTCAGAAAACCACTCTGCTGCCATTGCAAGCAACGTGGTTTCCTAAAACCACTCTGGTGCCATGGCAAGCAGAGTGGGACCAGATGACCACTATGGTGATGTGGCAAGCAGAGTGGGTTCCTAAAACCACTCTGGTGCCATGGCAATCAGAGTGGGACCTGAAAACCACTCAGGTGCCATCGCAAGCAGAGTGGGTTATGAAAACCGCTCTGGTGCCATGGAAAGCAGAGTGGTTCCAGAAAACCACTCTGGTGCCATGGCAAGCAGAGTGGGCTCAGAAAACCACACTGGTGCCATGGCAAGCAGAGTGGGCACAGATAACCACTATGGTGCTGTGGCAAGCAGAGTGGGTTCATAAAACCACTCTGGTGCCAAGGCACGCAGAGTGGGCTCAGAAAACCACACCGGTGCCATGGCGACTATAGTGGGACCAGAAAACCACTCTGCTGCCATTGCAAGCAGAGTGGTTTCAAAAAACCATTCTGGTGCAATGGCAAGCAGAGTGGGCTCAGAAAATCACTCTGCTGCCATTGCAAGCAGAGTGGTTTCCTAAAACCACTCTGGTGCCATTGCAAGCAGAGTGGTTTCAGAAAGCCTCTGTTGTGCTGTGGCAAGCAGAGTGGGTTCTGGAAACTAGTAGGTGTCGCAACACGGCAAGCATAGTGGGCTCCTAACAGCAGACAGAGTCACACTCGGCCAGGGTAGGTTGCTTACCCGCTTGGCGGCCGTGTTGTATTCACGAGGGCCTTCCACAGAAGCTGGAGGTAGCACGGCCATGGCGTGACGGGTGGTGCTTCCGGATAGGATGGCAGCTTCGTAGTCCCGCTTGTTTGAAGTTCTGTACGGGGCTTTGCAGTTTCGTATATGCGCATTCTCATAGGGCGCCGTGGAGTACTCCCGGGGATGTCCGCCGCGCCTGATAGCCTCAGGGAGGTGATTGAACCCGTGGACCTTGATAAGGTTCCATCCATGCCCGCCTCTGGGAAACTGTGTCATCAGCAGCCGCACCAGCCTGCTAAGGGAAACACAATTATGAGGGGCTCATTCAGAACGGGCTGCGAAGCACGACACGGTCTAATTTAGAGGAAAATCAGTACACACGCCCAAGGGCAGCACTAGCAGCCACTCACTCAGCCGTGTCCAACTCCATCTGCCGCAGTGACTCCTCAGTGTATGACTCGGCCCGGATGTGGTTGTGATGCCAATCGGCAAAGTAGACGACTGCCGTCAGTTGCACAGGTTCAACGCGCCCCTCCAACATAAACGGGAGAACCTGCACGGGGTACACGCACAGAACCGCCCGGTGGACGAATGCTCTAGGCAGGCCCAAGCCGAACGCCAAAATCAGCACAAACGTCTGGCCCACACGGGACTCGGAGTGTACCAGTGCGCATGCGTCATGATAGTCAGAAGATGGCAACGCATGTGGCGCAGCATGGGTATGGGTGGGCATGCATATCAAGCAGCGTGCGATTGCCGAAAACAACCGACGCCACAACAACCCCCCTCCCAGCACGCATGCCATCACACCCTGACAGCCAGGGAAGGGGGGTTTAGGGATGGCATGCATGACATGCTTCCGTGTGGCCCAGGCTACAAGACGACAACGGTTTAGGTGGGTGGGTAGGGAGGGGTAAGGGACTGGGCTGCCCGTGCGGGGTGACTGAAGGGACACAAACACTGCACGAAACTGGGAGTTGGGGCAGGGGGGCTCACCGTGAGCATTGCAGCGTGCTCTGCCGCGGAGTAGTAAGCATTCCTTGAGAAGTAGAGGCCTGACGGGAGGGGAACACCTGCCAGGATGGCTGCGTCGTATGCAGCGAGCAAGCGGCTGTCCATGGGGGGAAAAACAAGAAGGGCATGAATGCATGCAGGGTTTCGTGGAGAGGGGGACACACAGGAACGGCATGCAAACATCCTAAGAGAGACTGGAGCACGCACTCATCGAGCACGAGAGCATTTGCGTCGCCGCCCTTTGCGACGTGGACGAGGCGGGGAAGTACGCCCCCATACAATATGTGGAGGAGATCGGGCATCAGGGCCTGGTATGTGTTGCCCAATTTGGATGATGGTCGGTGGAAACTCCAGAGAAAACTCTGCATGCAACAACACGGGAAATGTGACGGACGCAATGCATATATGCTGGCATTGTCACTTTCCTGATGGACTCAAGGGGTGGGTTCCACGACGCGAGGCTAAACAATCAGCACCGGATAATGCCTCATCAGGAATCATGGGACCCAAACTAGCTCACCTCGACGGGATGTGTGGAATACTTTGCAGCCTCCTCGGGGTCATTCAACAGCCTCATCTGTTGCTCCACAGTGCGGGGGGCATTCAGCCCATCGCGAATGACCCACAGGTAGTTCTTCCCCACATAGCACACTGAGCGAGGCATATCACTGCCCAGCTGCAGCGTGCAAGAGACCTTGCATATTTCGGGGTAATCACCCACATACGCATAGAGGATGGGGTACACGGTGTGCACCACGCCCTGAGGATCCGTTAGTGGTGTGCCCCTGAGAGTTGGAAGAGGAAGGGCAGCAGGAGAGCATCATGGGAGCACGCTCTGACTGGCATGGCATTCCAGGGAGGTAAGGAGCGGACGCACAGCCGTGCTGGGCATGCATTTCAAGCAGGGGCGGATGCAAGGCAGCCATGGCTCACACCGTGAACAGGGGGGTGTGCTGCATCGCCAATGCATGCGTATCAGACACCGGGACACGCAGGGGATATGCACAGAGGACGGGGGGGCATGCCTGGCAGCCACGGCAAACAGGGAACCATGGCATGGTGCCTGGACAGTGGGGGAATAAAAGGCACTGAAGGCATGCGTAGCAGAGGTGGGCGGAACACAGAGAGGCAAAACATACCATTGAGATGCCGGGAAGAGATCATGTAGGAGGACGTGCATGGCCTTCTGGAACAGAATGACCTTCTGCACCGGAGTCATCTTCTCATGCGGCATGGGCAGCAGTCCAAGGAGCACGCGACCCGTCTCCCGCCAGCGAAGGGAGTACTGTATGTTGGCGCATGTCAAGTACACCGGCCACACACGGGTGCGCTGGTGTCCACTTAACGTTGTTACGTCAGATGCCAGGATGATAGGGCAAACTATCTCACCATTCTTCAAAAGTTTCTGTTGGACCAGCAGGGGCGTGCAAAGAAGGCGGGCGACGTTAGGAGATGGGCAGAGTACCCATGACACACAATGACGTGATGTTGGAAAAGTCGCCCGCTACGGAGTAGAGCACGCGGTTTGCTTGGCTGAGGGCAGCCAAGCCGCTTAGGCTTGGTTTAGGGCAGCATGAGGGGGGTGAGGGAAGCACAAGCCCATGGAAGGCAGCATGAGGGGTTGGAGGCGGAACTCTGGGCAGCTAATGTTGGCGGTATGTCGCCAAGTAGGCTACATACCTGTGCAAGCCGCCAAAGTGAGCCGCTCTTCGGGCCAGAATACTTGTGCGTGGAGCTCCCACCGTCCTCGCCGTCGTCATCGGGTTGCAGAGCAAACCCGGGAGCATTGGCAGGATGCCTCCACAATTCCGCCAGGGCCTGCAACCACAACGGTCGTACACGTGTGTACACATGAGACCCGGGAGGTTAATGAAACACAGTATGCACATCGCATATATGCCACATACCTCTAGCACGCCGGTGTGTTGCACAGTAAACAGCGTCGGCCATCCGGGCACGGAGACGTGAGACTTGTGGTACGTCCTCGTGCCTAGTAGCAGCCTCATGCCATAGCGTTCGATGGCCCGTTTAGAGCGCCAATGCCGTAAGGCTGACACTCGAAAGCCATGCGAATTGAGAATCCGCATCAGGAACGCCGTGTCCTTCGTCGACATTCCTGCTCCGTTGTTGGCCCCCATGACGAGCCGGAAGATGGCATACTGGGTGTCGAACTGAGGCCCCGTGGCACTGTCGTCTGCGCGGGGATCTAGCCCGTCCTCCGTGTCATCGCTGTTGCCTTGACGAGCGCCGCTGCCACCGCTAGACACTGGGGAACCCGCCTCGTTGCCAGCTGCCCCGTGCTCGTCCTCGTGCTCTGCGGAACTATGCGACTGGAGTGGCGCATGCTGACTCACTTCTCTCTCCTCTGGTACATCGGCTGTTGCGCGTGGCGGAGGAGCGGACACGGAGCCCTGGCCCTTATAATAAGGGCCCAAACTGATGCCAAGGTCAACGCAGCGAGCTCGGGCACCGCTGCATCGTGTTCGCTCATGTGTGTCCCTCGTAGAGGCGTCCTGAAACACGTCGGGGCAGTACTCGCAGGCCCATGTCTGAGATTGCATAACGACCACTCACACTTGGTGGCTTAGGAGCGACAAACGGGCGTCGATCCTAGCGGTGGCAGTGTAACCCAACACACGACTTGGATCCACCGTAGTTACGGTGCCTCAGAGGTCGTAGATGCATCGTGTGGGGGATTTTGGGCACGCTTGGAGATCGAGTGGAAATCTGACAGCATGGCATTATGGCGAGTCGACGCCACGCGACGTGAATGCGCACAGGGAGGCTATAAATCTCGGCGTACTGTCCAGAGCTCCACGGCAGACCGTGACTCGACATTTCCGCTAGCTGTGTTCGGCAAGGAAAACGCGCATCGCGTCTAGAATGGGGGCGAGTTGGCTTGTGAGAGCACATCGCGCACTTCACGCCTATCAAACACGGCTAGGCTATCAGTGCGCAAGCGAAAAACGCGAAGTACTATCTCCAGACACTCAAGGTGACAGAGTAAGGTGAGGGGATCCGGATTTGGAGTGGTGGACGAACTTTGCGGAACGCTGCAGGTCTGGGCAAACCCAGACCTGGCCGAAATTTGAAAGGCTGAAATATTTGCGCAAAATACCGGCGTGTTTGTGTGTGCGTGGGGACAATGGCCTGGTCACGCCACTGGAAAAGGACCCTTCTGACTACGGGTCCGTGTGCGCCATCGTTTAGGCTAAAAATAAACGTTGAAGGGTATCCAACGAACGATAAATGTTTGCACTAGCTGCGGGCGTGTTTCTGGAGAATTCGCAATTGTTTGTTCCGGCACAGGTGTGGAATACCATAGGTCTTTTTGTGACGCAAAGCGTACACATTCCAAGTAGGACTCATTGCAACCTGGTCTATAAACAGGGTATAATACTGTCCGTAACATAATCCGACCTGGCGCACTGACGACGACCTGTACACGTGCAGAAATGTCGACAAACTTCGTCAGTCCTTTCACCATCCACTCTACACCGCTTGTGATTCCGTGATGGGCCAGCGTTTTGATAACAACCTCATCGGACCGTCCATGTTGCTCAACTCACTTCGGATGGTGACACATCAGGTGACATCACAACAAACCTCACCTCATTGACTACTGCTCCCTGAATTGTGATGTGTGCGGCTCGGGAGTGAAGTGAAGCCCCCCCAGCAGGGCAGCATGCAATTCCGCCCCTCGCAGAAGTGCAAAGCAGGAAATGTGATGAGCAGAAGCCAGTTTCAGACCTTTCCCGTCATTTTCGCTCAACTGTCCCACCCGTCCAGCCATCACACGAGCCATGGCTGCAACTGCAAACCGCCACGCCAACAGGCCCGTCGCGACGTACTCTGGGAGGTGCACTATGGAGACTCTAATTCGCACTCAACCGGTTTTGTGCTCGGCGAGAATGCAAGTGACATTCACGGAATGGCATTACCTCCCCGAGTTCAGCACCCCAGCTCCCAAAGGCTTCACAGACGACATCAGGCATCTCGCCTACCGCGCCAAGGGAAGCGCGTGGCTGCGTCGTGAGAAGTCGCAGGCGCAATTCCGTATCAACCGCAATATGGCGCCCAACGCGAAGATCTCGTGGTTGGAGCAGATGTTCATCAATGCCGCCTTCCACGACGCTGATGACGGCGAGGATTTCGTCGCAGAGGCGGGAAGGTTTCTGCAGTCCATTGCCGACTACAAGAATTTCAACCCCATTGCTGACGGCTGGAACGAGCTACTTCAGGCACCGAGGAGGAAGCTCGACTACCGCACGTGGCTCCTCGACTGGGCCCACTCGATGGGCTGGGTGGTGAGTGTGGGTTGGGTTTCCTTGTGATTGAAAGATGTAGTACATTGTGTGACGGCCTTTACTTGCTGTCTCTATCTTTTTGTGGTAGCTGGAGGGCGGGCCGTACACCAAAAGGGACGCTCCAAATGCCATGGTAGTTTTCGGCAAAAACGGCAAGCCCGTGCCTGAAGCTCTGATCCCGCCGGCGAGGAAAGGCTGGATTGGAGGGCCGAATGGCATATCCATGAGCAACCTCGCCCCTGCCTTGGGCCTGCGCCCCCAGACAGACACGAAAGCTGTTGTGCACACCTGTGAGTTCCGCGAAGTGGACAGCCAGGGCCGTGAGTGGCGTTGCGCGCGTAGGGGGGGGGAGGTCCCCATCAATCCGCGTTTGGTGAAGCAAGACTACGCCCCGCGCGGCTACTGGAACGTGGGGTTCCCGGACTCGCCGAAGCGCGAGAGGGCGACTCCGTCGAAGAAATGTAAAATCATGAAAGGTAATGCGGGTGGCTCACCCTAGCTTGGCGCGACAGCGTTCCAGCATTGTAGTCGTGACGGCCTTCAAGGAGTAGGTGCACTCAGCACCCGGTTTTACAAGTCTGCTGGAGTCGAACGCGCCCATGAGGATGGGTGCTGCTGTTTCCAGGGGGGAAGGGGGGGGGGGTTGTGGGATCTTGGGGTTGCATATGAAATTGTGGTCCTAGTTGGTTGTTCTCCTAGCCGTTCTTGCTTTGAATCCGACAAAATCTGCTCCATTTATTTAGCACAATTAGTCCAGACGAACTAAAGTATGAATAACGCACAACGGTTGTCGCCGCGAAGTATGTAGCACGCACGCTCAATTTACATACCATGCCATATAAAGCCCGTTGTCGCACTCGGCTGGCCAACCAGCCTAAGCCGTCCACGCTCACCTCACAGACGCCTAACGCGGGCCACCGCGGGGCGTCGCCAGGCTGGACCATATCCCGTGAGATGGCGTGACTGGCTGCCACTTGCACGGCGGAGGCTTCGCAGCAGATATGAGGAACAGATAAGGCAGGGCATGAAGCTGATATGATAGCCCACTTGGCGACCGGTGAATGGTTAAAGATCCCCCCCCCCTCTTCCAGAGAGATTCACCCCAGGATTGCCCCCCAAGGTTAGCAAGGCATCTTTTGCCCCATTGCTGTATAGCGGAGGATGTACAAATGAGCAGCTCAAACTAAAGAGTCTGTGCTGTGTCGCCATCAGGCTAGAGGGCATTGCTTGGGAATGGCGAGGCAGGGCGGACGAGCTCATGAGCTGTACCACCGTGTTGACGGCGAAGGACGCCCTGTTAGGATAAACAGCGGGTATCATTCTGCCTGGGAGCGTGATGACTACGACTTGGAGGGGGGGACCTACAGTCCACGACAGCATCATATTCTCCAGCCACGATACGTGGCTGCGTCAAGGGGGGCGCCCGGTGGGAGCAGTCGGTCACAAGCACAATATCTACCTCAGCAACATGGAAGGGCATTCGGATCGCAGTACGCCACCCGTCACCGGTTCATGGCGGAGAGCCAATACGATCAGGAACTGCCTGAGGGTGAGATCTCCATTTTACACCTAAAGTACTAACCGCAGTTGTCCGTCTTCCCGTTTCTGTGCGCCCTCCCCCCACGCGGTCTCTGCTCTGCTCCTGCGTGCGAAGTTATAGGCATTTCTCTGGTTTCCATGCCATTCGATGCTCACGCATCCCTTCTTTTCTGCCATGCTCTGGAATGGCTGCGCTCATCCCCCTGTTTCAGGGTACATACCGCGAGTGCGGTCTATCGGCGAAGTCAATGCTGTCGCTGCAGCAGGCGCGGGCCCCGCTACCGAGCCAGCTACCAGCTATGAGGGTGGCCGAGGGCCACCTGGTCCCCCCACGACAGGTCACGCTGACCCTGTGCCTGAAGCTGGAGCCCCCGAACATGGCTGGGCGGGCCGTCCAATGCCACAAGACCTGCTGGCGGCACAGGAACGTATCCGGGAGCTTGAACGCGAGAAGGTGGACCTAGGCAACAAGCTGCAGCAGGCGGAGGCACGCAAACGCAAGGCAGCAGAATCCGCCCACGCTGCTGGAGAGGCTGCAGACGAGGATACCGAGGCTAACCCTGCTACTGCCGTGGGTGAAGACAATCCAAGCCAGCGCGCTGCACCAAGGGAGAGGAGGCCTCTCTCTTTGGCAGCGATGCGGGCAATTTCGGCAGAGTGCCGCGTGAGGAGCACGCCTGCCATTCTTGAATCTTTGACCCCGAACCAGCTGACATGGGCGCAACGCCTCATCGTGGCTCTTGCCGAAATACCCGACATGCACAATGGCTATAAGGTGAGCGTATTGAACCTACTTGCTCACCAGTGCACTATGCCGAAGGCGTCTCATTCGGGCCATGCTCTGGTGCTATGTCATTTCTCAGGTGCCATCTCATCCTAGCCCATCCGTGGCTATCACCCATTCCAGATTTGGGCTCCCATTCGTGGCACCAGAGTGGTAATCTGGTCCCACTCTGCTTGCCATGGCACCAGAGTGGTTTTATGAACCCACTCTGCGTGCCACAGAACCAGAGTGGTTATCTGAGCCCACTCTGCCTGCCATGGCGCCAGAGCGGTTTTCTGAACCCAATCTGCTTGCCATGGCACCAGAGTGGTTTTCTGAACCCACTCTGATGGCCATGCCACCAGAGTGGTTTTCTGGTCCCACTCTGCCTGCCATGGCACCAGAGCGGTTTTCTGAACCCAATCTGCTTGCCATGGCACCAGAGTGTTTTTCCGAGCCCACTCTGCCTGCCATGGCACCAGAACGGTTTTCTGAACCCAATCTGCTTGCCATGGCACCAGAGTAGTTTTATGAACCCACTCTGATGGCCATGCCACCAGAGTGGTTTTCTGGTCCCACTCTGCCTGCCATGGCACCAGAGCGGTTTTCTGAACCCAATCTGCTTGCCATGGCACCAAAGTTGTTTTCCGAGCCCACTCTGCCTGCCATGGCACCAGAACGGTTTTCTGAACCCAACCTGCTTGCCATGGCACCAGAGTGGTTTCATGAACCCACTCTGATGGCCATGCCACCAGAGTGGTTTTCCGAGCCCACTCTGCCTGCCATGGCACCAGAGCGGTTTTCTGAACCCAATCTGCTTGCCATGGCACCAGAGTGGTTTTCCGAGCCCACTCTGCCTGCCATGGCACCAGAACGGTTTTCTGAACCCAATCTGCTTGCCATGGCACCAGAGTGGTTTTCCGAGCCCACTCTGCCTGCCATGGCACCAGAACGGTTTTCTGAACCCAATCTGCTTGCCATGGCACCAGAGTGGTTTTATGAACCCACTCTGATGGCCATGCCACCAGAGTGGTTTTCCGAGCCCACTCTGCCTGCCATGGCACCAGAGCGGTTTTCTGAACCCAATCTGCTTGCCATGGCACCAGAGTGGTTTTATGAACCCACTCTGATGACCATGCCACCAGAGTGGTTTTCTGGTCCCACTCTGCCTTCCATGGCACCAGAGTGGCTTTATGAACCCACTCTGCCTGCCATGGCACCAGAGTGGTTTTATGAACCTAATCTGCATGCCAGAGAACCAGAGTGGTTTTCTGGTCCCACTCTGCCTGCCATGGCACTAGAGCGGTTTTCTGAACCCAATCTGCTTGCCATGGCACCAGAGTGGTTTTCCGAGCCCACTCTGCCTGCCATGGCACCAGAGCGGTTTTCTGAACCCAATCTGCTTGCCATGGCACCAGAGTGGTTTTCCGAGCCCACTCTGCCTGCCATGGCACCAGAACGGTTTTCTGAACCCAATCTGCTTGCCATGGCACCAGAGTGGTTTTATGAACCCACTCTGATGGCCATGCCACCAGAGTGGTTTTCCGAGCCCACTCTGCCTGCCATGGCACCAGAGCGGTTTTCTGAACCCAATCTGCTTGCCATGGCACCAGAGTGGTTTTCCGAGCCCACTCTGCCTGCCATGGCACCAGAACGGTTTTCTGAACCCAATCTGCTTGCCATGGCACCAGAGTGGTTTTATGAACCCACTCTGATGGCCATGCCACCAGAGTGGTTTTCCGAGCCCACTCTGCCTGCCATGGCACCAGAGCGGTTTTCTGAACCCAATCTGCTTGCCATGGCACCAGAGTGGTTTTATGAACCCACTCTGATGACCATGCCACCAGAGTGGTTTTCTGGTCCCACTCTGCCTTCCATGGCACCAGAGTGGCTTTATAAACCCACTCTGCCTGCCATGGCACCAGAGTGGTTTTATGAACCTAATCTGCATGCCAGAGAACCAGAGTGGTTATCTGTGCCCACTCTGCTTGCCATGGCACCAGAGTGGTTTTCTGAACCCACTCTGATGGCCATGCCACCAGAGTGGTTTTCTGGTCCCACTCTGCCTACCATGGCACCAGAGTGGTTTTATGAACCCACTCTGCTTGCCACAGCACCAGAGTGGTTATCTGTGCCCACTCTGCTTGCCATGGCACCAGCGTAGTTTTATGTTCCCACTCTGCTTGCCATGGCTTTCATCCATTCCATATTTGCTTACACACGCTTGCCATTGCTACGGACTTGTTGGAGTGTCCCCAGCTATGCCATGGCATCCGCCCTTTTTTCAGTGCACAATCTCCCTTCAATCCGTGCCATGATTCCTTGTTTGCCGTTCAAGCCATGTTATTGCTACCCATGTTGTTGCACATGTCGATTACCCCATCCCGTGGCACCACAGGGGCTTGTGTGCGATGTTATCAGCCGCCTAGTTTACGGCACGCCTTCGCGTTTCATGAGCATGTGGCCCTCGGACGAGGTGGTGGAGAGAACCATTCAGGAGTGTTTGATGATGGTCACGGAAGAGGCACTTTACAGGATCCACATTGCTTTGCGCAATGATCCGGTGCGGAGTGGGTTCTTCAGAGACCGATTCAGCGCACTGCGCGCCAACACCCTGGACCAGGCGCGAGTTTGGATTTTCCTTACCTTTGGCCTCCCATTTGCCATTCCCCAGCACACTCGCGCACGCGTTCCTATCGTGCGGGGCAGCCCCCAAAGCGTTGAGGATTTCCTGAAGGAGTATGCTGTTGGTAAGTGGTGTTTCTACAAACCTACCTGGAGGCGTGCTTATGCTGAATATATTGACGCTGGTGTGGGGCAGTCACCAATCATATCCTCTTTATTTGCTTGCACAGATGCGGATAGCCATGACCTCTTGACATGGCACCGTATCCCCAATGCTAAGGACGGCATCCCTTTCACGCATGAAGCCTTCGAGGCAGCAATCAAGGCTGCCCTGTTCAGATACAAGCCCACCCCAACCGTGGTTCGCCTATACCACATCGCCTATTTTCTGATGGGGGTGAGTGTAGCTACTCTAGCTCCCATGAGTTAATTGTTTGTGGTCTCTTGCCAGGGGCTCAGCCTTTGTTCTCCTCCGTTTCGTTCAGGTTGAGCACCGCATCCTTAACAAGGGCGCGGACCTGAAGCACAGCTCTTCTTACGGCATTAACTTGACGAACGTGTACTTCAAGAGGGTAACGGCCTGGTGCAAAGCTGCAATCGCAAAACCCGGTCCAGCCGGGCGACCCCGTTTCGACGAGGCGGCGAAGGCATGGGACTTCTCTGGCAGCGGCACCATTTTGATCCAGTTTGACTGATCGTACATGGCCAGGAGAGGGAAGATCAGGGATTCAAGTGGGTTGTATTTGTGGAGGTTGTCAAATGGGCGTCTTTAATTGGTCCGTTCGGGTAGACGTTCTGTGGGGTGAAACTTTAGAGGCGCTAATATTTCCCATGAGTGATAATTGTTCCACATTTCCACGGCATTTTTTTTGCGACATTCACAGGTGCGAGCGATGCTTGTGGGCAGTTTGGTAACACAACATCGGCTAAGCACTTCGAGAAAAGCCATTGTAGTGTACATTCTATATGTATCCGATGCTCAACTCCTCGTCACACGTCCTACCCACCTGTACACTCGTCAAATTTTGTACCAACCAGTCCACCGTGTTGCTGATGTCCACGTGGCACAACCATCCCTTGAGAGGCCAGCACCAACGACGCCCTCCTGAGCCATCACACTGACCGGCCCCTGGAGTTCTCTCTCCCATCCTGCTTATTGTCCAGACAGCAATGAGTTTCTTGCACACTAGTATGTTTTGGCACGGCAACCCCTTTATCCTCGTTCTCCCACTGACTGTTTCCTCCTGGTGAACACCTCCTTTCAAACAGCGCTGGCTCTGCTGGCTGCACAGCGAGACAGCATGGCAGTCCCGCGGATATCGCCCGAAACGAGCTCACCTAGGTACGCAGCGGCAGCCATACTCTGCAAGCTCGGATTCTATGTGTTTGCTTCGCCGGCTATTAATGCCCACGTTTCTCGCCCACTCTGCCACCCCTTGTATGGGGCATAAGTGCGCTTGTTTTGCTTTTGTGTGTTCGTTTTCGTCGCAGGATGCTCTCCCACGTGCGGAGCTGGTCATGCGACTTGGATGGAGTTACGATGGGTCCGACGTCGCGGTTGCAACATCTGATATGTCAGCGACGAAAATGTCAAACTCGCTGCCTGCCGTGGGTTATGTGGCGTGACGATTTTCTCCTTAGATGTTTTTCTGCTTGCGACCTTCCTTCACCATGCTGCCCATGTGGTTTTTCCTTGCACCTCGCGTTCCCCTCCCTACCAACCCGCCCCCCTCGGCCCGCTTCTCTGAACTCGCAGCTAACCGGTAGGAGTCCGGCGGGGCGGGTGAGCTTCACGTTGTTTTTTCTGCTGCGGGAGGCGCGCGTTTCTGACGGTGCATCGCTGGCGGGATGCGGGCGATTGCGACGGTGCACAAGTGGCATGACGCATGCGCTTCTTTTCTTTTGTATCGGCTGGCGGGACGCCTGCGCTTATCGCGGAGTACGCGTGGGATTCTCTGTTGGAGCACGTCGGACGCGACATGAGCATAACCGGGGGTACGCCGAGGGTCATTTCGTGCGCTTCTAACATGCTCTCGGGGCGCGTCACCGAAATCAGGTATGGCTGTAGCGACTCCGCATCCCTAGCCCTTTGCCACATATCTACCTCCTCCCCCCCTTCCCCTCTGAACCTCCCACCCTATCCCCCCCCTCCCACCTCCCCCCTCCTCCTCCCTCCCTCATTACGATCCCCCCCTTCCCCACACCTCTCCGCTTGTTTCCGTTGGGTTGTCCCTCTTAGTTTCTTATGAAATTGTTCCCAGGTTCATGCCATTCATGTTTTTTTCTTCTTCTTTTTTTTCTCAAGCCGCCATGTGCTCCCCCTTTTCCTCACCCAGCCTCTGTCTTTTCCGCCTCTGTGTTCATATCCGTGTCAGGTGACTCAGGGCTGACTGCTCCGACTCCCCATCGTCAGGTGTGGTCTGGTGTGCTTGCTGTTCTTTTCTACATGGGTTTTCCGATAGGAGGGATGTTGTTTCAGCGTGCCGCCTATCCCTGCCATACCCCTAAACCACTGTGTTGTGCTCTAGTTTGCGCCGTGTGTTGGCGACGCGCACGTGCACTCAACGCGGCTTTTGCCAGTCTTGACATGGGTAACTGCAGGTGGCGTCCATATGGCAAATGGGCTTGGCAGCATCTGGGCGTTACCCACGTGCTGGGATTTTCAGTGGCAAGCTTTCACCGTTGAGTTGTCGGAGGGTAAGATGACACATGCCTGAAAGCAAATCCTGGGGTTTTTCTGTATTGTTTTACAGAGGCATGCTTATGCTGGCCTTTTCTGTGGTGAATGCAGGACAACATTTACACTTCGCACAGCTGACGCTGTTTATGGCAGTAGTGTTGTGTGCAACTGAAGGCTACCAGCGGCACATTACATGCACCACAAATCTGTCTTGTGTTTGGCATGTCTTGTTTGTAGTCCCCCTCCCTCCCACTGCACTGCATTTGCCATTCGACCAGCCAGTCACAGAGAGGCACAGCATATGACCCGCCAGTCCACTGAGTAGCTATGATGGGTTTTTATGGTTAATAATCCCCTTGTGATGTTTGGAAGGTTACCACACCTTGTGTCTTTAGTGACATAGTTTTCGCAGAGCCAATAACAGGCAGTTAATAAAATATTCGCTGCATTTTGTTTCGGAACCCCAACGCGGCTCGTCTGATTAACTACAGTAAAGGCTTTGTTTGAAGATGGGTCGTTATTGTGTCCGTGCAGGTGCTATAAGTGTAGTGGAAACCATATGCGAATCCCAATTGTGAAAACGGTGGCGGTTAGTGTGGTATACTAAATCGGAGGATGTATCCGTATCGGGACGCCTTTGACGGGGATGGCTTGCTATTTTTCTAACCATAACGACAGCATTTTGCAAACGACGTAGTGTTCTCCTTATACTTGAACGCGAACCCAGTTTTGCCGGAGATGCGCACGGGTCAAATTGTTCCCACCTAGACCCCCGCGTGTCACGTGAAGGTGACCCGGTGGTGTCGCGTGGGTTACAACACATGGGACACCTGAGGGTTACCTCGAAGGGCATTCTGACTGAGGGTTTCGCGTGGGATACCCAGTCGGAAGCCCCAGGGTCACCCGCTGGCGCGAAACCCCAAAGTCACTTGTGGTAAAGTTGGGGGTAACATTTCGCCACCACGATTTTTGGGATGCTGGTCTGTCAACGTCAACATTAACCTCGGCGGTTGCCGATCCGTCGAAATTCGGCTACCGGTCCACGGCAGAAGACGTGACGACGGGCGTCGATTTGACCGGCAAAGTGGCGATCGTAACGGGTAAGAGGCGTGTAATTGTCCGCGGTGGCCGCTGTAGGGAAAACGGGTGCGCATGCCGTCTTCCCGTTCCCCCCGCTCCTCTCGTTTCCCCCGCTCCTCTCGTTTCCCCCGCTCCTCTCGTTTCCCCCGCTCCTCACATTCCCCCCGTTCCCCACGTTCTGCCCCACTCCCCTCCCCGATCTCCACGGATCCCCCTTCAAGGCGGCAGCAGCGGCATCGGCACGGAGACGGCGCGAGTGCTGGCGCTGCGGGGCGCGTCGGTGGTGCTCGCGGTGCGCAACACGGAGGCGGGGGAGGCCGCCAAAGCCGCCATTATCAAAGACATTGAGGGGAGACTCACGGCGGCGGGGGCGGGGGCGGGGGCGGGGATTCCGCCAGCGGTGCGGGAGCGCGTGAGCGTGATGGCGCTGGATCTGGGGTCCCTGAAGTCGGTGCGCACTTTCGCCGCGGATTACCTGCGGCTCAACCGCCCCTGCACGTGCTTGTGTGAGCGGGGGGGAGAGGGAAGGGGAGAGGAGGGGGGGGAGAGGAGGGGAGGGGAGGGGGTGGGGGAGAGGGGTGACCAATGCACGTGCTCGTGTGGGGGAGGGGGGAGGGAAAGGGGGGGAAGGGGGAGGGGAGGTGGGGGGAATGGGAGGGAATGAGAGCGGGCGCAATGTTGAATCTGCTGAGCTGACCGCCGCACGAGCTCTTGTGAGGGAGTGGGGAGGGGCTCCAGATGGTGGTTTGTGGGGGAGACAGCCACACCTGTGCATGTGAGCGAGACGGCTTGGGGGTGCATGGGAGGGAGGGAGGGGGGATGGGTGCAAGAGGATGGGCGCCGCCGAAATTAGTTCATCACTGTTTTCCATTCAAAGCTGTCTGAGCATCCCTACAGCTTGAGCCTTTTTTCAGAACCCCTGCCTCGCAAGGCTACTACCACCATTGTTAACCCAGGGTTTGGGGGCGCATGGGAGGGAGGGGATGCAAGAGGATGGGCGCCGCCGGGAGGCAGGCTTGAGTTGGGAGTCACGTGGTAGAGGATGGGAAGAGGAGGGCAGGCTTGAGTTGGGCTTCTATATCATATATGCAGAATAAAGTGGCCTGTTGTTGTGCCTGTCCGTCGTGTCCGCCGCCCTCCCTCCTTGTTTGCTACATTGCTACCTCCCGTCGCCCCTCCTCCTCCTCGTCATTTCCTCCTGCTTCCTCACTCCTCTCTCACTCCTCTCTCACTCCTCTCTCACTCCTCTCTCACTCCTCTCTCACTCCTCTCTCACTCCTCTCTCACTCCTCTCTCACTCCTCTCTCACTCCTCTCTCACTCCTCTCTCACTCCTCGTTCACGCACTCCCCCCTTCCCCCGTCCCTTTCCCCGCCCACCACCACCACGGCAGCAACAACGCGGGTGTGATGATGTGTCCGTTCATGCTGACGGCTGACGGCTACGAGAACCAGGTCGGCACCAACCACGTGGGTGAGTTGGCCGACATTGGAAGTAACGCCAGGCTGACAGGTTACGGTTATAGTTTACGATACATGTGTTACGACGTGGGCAACAGACAGGCACGTGCTACAACTACATTTTGCAAGTAGATCTCGCAAAGATTATGGACTAGTGCCGATGCTAAAGGAAGAGTCGCACAGGGAATTTGTAACGCATATACTGCAAGCAAGCGTGTACGGTGTACCACTCATGTGGTGTAGATTCGCGACTATATCTGAGGCCTTTAAAAAACTAGGCGTTTTTTAAGGTGGCTGAGCTGATGCAAGCAGGTGAGGACTTGGTGTGTCATCTGGTGCGTGCAGTGTGTTCACTTTGGTTGGAGCAGGTAAGTATGAGACGCCGGAGTGACGGGCATAGTACCAAGGCACAAGCACGTAACCTCAGGCAATGCCCGATTGTTGTTTATCACTCCATCTATTCTACATCCGTCCCACCCCTTTCAACCCCCCAACCCACCCTCTCCTCCCTCTCCCCCTCTCCCCCCCCCCCCCCCCCCCCCCCCCCCCCCCTCTTTCCAACAACCCCTCTTCCTCAGGCCACTTCCTGCTCACCAACCTGCTGCTCCCAAAGCTCAAGGAGACGGCAAAGAAGGACAACACAGAGGCGCGCATCGTGATCGTGTCGTCCGCCGCTCACCAATTCCCGTACCGGGTGGCATCCGCCTGGACGCCATCAACGCCAGCACCGGGTACGACTCCATCAAGGCGTACGGGCAGTCCAAGCTCGCCAATGTGCTCCACGCCAGGGAGCTGGCGAGACGACTCAAGGTGCGAACGGGGTGGGTGGAGAGGGAGGAAAGGGGGCTTGTGTGTGTATCTGTGAGTGTAGGTGTGGAGCGACGCCATCAACGCCAGGACGGGATATGACCCCATCAAGAAGGCGTACGCAAATATCAAGAAGGCGTACGCAAATATCAAGAAGGCGTACGCAAATATCAAGAAGGCGTACGCAAATATCAAGAAGGCGTACGCAAATATCAAGAAGGCGTACGCAAATATCAAGAAGGCGTACGCAAATATCAAGAAGGCGTACGCAAATATCAAGAAGGCGTACGCAAATATCAAGAAGGCGTACGCAAATATCAAGAAGGCGTACGCAAATATCAAGAAGGAACTGAGACACACGTGCTTGGATCAAGAAGGCGTACGGGCAGCCCAAGCTCGCAAATATCCTCCACGCCAGGGAGCTGGCGAGAAGACACAAGGTGAGTGCGTGCTCCGACGATGCAATCCCATGTTGCTGCGTATCCGCAGCACGTGTGTCTCAGTCACAACAACTGTGGCCATTACGTACAGTGAGAGCACAAGAACCCCTGGCATACAGATTCAACGGACGGACACTCGCCTCGTGCAAATGAGCTGGCCTGGCGATTCAAGGTGATTGTGAGAGGTAAATGTGTATGAGTGTTTGTAAGCGTTTGTGAGTTCGTCTGAGTGTTTGGCATTGTTTTAAAGTGGGTTTCTGTGTGCGTGTGGGCGGGGAGATGCACGCACAATCCTGCTGCCCACTCATGAGCACTCGCAGCAGTGGGCGCATCGTGCACTTCTCCCTGTGACCTGTTCCATCGCATCGCGCATATCGCAACACCATGGTAGGCACTCTGCAAATGCCCGCCCTTTCCCCCTCACCAACACTCCCCGCCCCCCAAAAATCCCTCTCCCCTTTCCCCCACTCCCCTCCTCTCACAACCCTGCCCATGCCTGCCCACGCATTCGCCCAACCCTCCCAACACGCGCATGCGAGCAGGAGGAGGGGGCAGCGGTGACAGTGAACGCGCTGCACCCGGGAGTGATCGATACCAACCTCGCTCGGTTCATCATGCAGCCTGGGACCATCTGGCACACACTTGGACGTACGTGGGTGGGTGGGCCATGGGGAAGCAGTGCAGGCTGTGTGTGGGGCATACAGCTTGTCGCTGGGGGGGAGTACGGACGGACTTGCAGTGGCGTGAGTGCATGGGACAACAGACATTGTTGGGGGGGGCAAGGGAGAGGGAAGTGCCTAGCCTTTAGCAGTCTAGCAGCAACTAGCAGCATCTAGCAGCTTGGATTGGAATGCGTTGTATCAGGTACTTGGGGCCACTACTCGGCTCTTGGTTCTTGGTGCAGGTTCGGTCTGTCATCTGAGACTCGTTCATTAGCTCTGAAAGAGGAGAGATAGGAGTGGGCGACAAGGTATCCGAGCTTGATTGAACTGTGGTTGAACTGGGTAGCATATGGGGTTGCACAATACTCCATGCACAATATCCCGTGTGCAGTATCCCATGCACAATGTTCCATGTGCGAAATTGCATGCACAGTATGAAATGCAGAATGTTCCATACGCAATATTCCATGCACAAGACTACTTGCACACTAATATGTGCACAACGCTCCATGCGCATGCCTGTGTGAGTGCTGATTAACATTCCCCCATGCTCGTACAGGTTTCTTGGCTAAGCAGCCAACCGTGTATGAGTGCTTGTGTATATGAATGTCTTCGGCCATCTGCCATCTGCCTCTCCAATCCCATGCCATCCCATGCCATGCCATGAAACGCCATACCATGGCATCCCATCCCATCCCATGCCTTCAAACGCCATACTACGGCATCTCATCCCATCCCATCCCATCCCATCCCATCCCATCCCATCCCATCCCATCCCATCCCATCCCATCCCATCCCATCCCATCCCATCCCATCCCATCCCATCCCATCCCATCCCATCCCATCCCATCCCATCCCATCCCATCCCATCCCATCCCATCCCATCCCATCCCATCCCATCCCATCCCACTCTGTGTGTCGCTGCCAGGGGGTGCAAACAACCTGGTGTTTCGGTGGTTCATGAAGACCATTCCTCAGGTACTCATGCCCACCCCACCTCACCCCATCTCACCTCACCTCACGTGCTCTCAACCACGTACCTCCCGTTGTTGCTCCGCTCTAGCACTGGACTCACCCACCCGTCTAGCACTGCCACCCATCCCTCTCACACTACCACACACCCGCCGCTCCTGCTCGCTCTTGCTCTCTCGTGCCCTCCTCTTTCCCTCCTTCCTCTCAGGGGCTGCCACACTGTGCTTCCTGACAGAACACCCCTCGGTGGCAGGAGTGTGCAGCAGCGGCTCACTCTCTTTCCTCTCCCTCTTCCCCCCTCCCCCCCCCTCCCCCTTCTCCCCACCCCCCCCTTTCCCCCCCTCCCCTGCATCTTCCCCCCAGGGCGCTGCCACGTCGTGCTTCCTAGCAGCGCACCCCTCGGTGGTGGGAGCGAGCGGGGGCTACTACGCCAACTCCCGCCCGGCGGAGGGCAGTGCATCTGACCTCAGCAGAGACATGCAGCTGGCTGCCAAGCTGTGGGAGCTCAGTGAGCACATGGCCAGCAAGGTCTGACTGCCAATTTAATTGACTTTCTTAGCGCCTCATAGGTAGTAACTGCGGACCGGGGACCTCAGCAGTGACGTGCAGCTGGCGGGGAAGCTGTGGGAGGGAGCTGAGCAAGCGTTGAGTGAGCGCATGGCCACTGGCCAGCATGGTTGAACAACTTCAAGCGATTGGGTTAGGCTGGGCTACCGTACTTTGCCTAGTAGATGCCTGTACGTACAGGTTTATTTATCTCTTAAAGCCCCTGGCTATAATAGCAGACCTGGAAACCACTTGAATTTGGTGCTTTGAAATCCGTGTAAGTATAGAATGGAAGGCAGCTTTGAGTTCCAAGCCTGAACAACAAAAGTGTGTAGAAACAAATTCTGGTCGAGCTTGCTAATTGGAGGAATGGCGAAAGAACTCGTTTTGCTGTTTGTTGCGACACGATCATTTGGATGCGAATTGCGCAAAAATACTGTGTGCATCGCAAGGAGTTTCTATGACGGGTTTGGGAGAGCAGCTTGCGACGAGGAAATACAGGCGCATTATGAGTGGGGAATTCAAGTGATTTTCAGGTCTGCAATTCCGAAATCAGATACTGTTTGCCAAAAAAACACTGTTCTTCTAATATTTTCACTGTTCACAGAACCACGAATTCGGTCGCACGACGCGTATTGCACTGTTCACCGAATGGTTTCATGCAAAAACTGTCGCCAAAATGTTTTTATTCTGTTTCGTTTACTCTAGAGATCAAGTCATGTGCCAAGTTCAAGAGCAAATTAAATAGCTCTCTTGATTGCTATTATAGCCACGGGCTTTAACGGTTGGAGTGGAAGGTTGGGCTAATTTATGGTACGTACTGTCTGATTGTACGTGTCCTTGTGTCCATTGCTATACATCACATTTATACACCTCTTTAGGAACTTGAGTTGAGAGGGGCTCTTCATTTCGTTTGTACACTTCGTCCAAGCACCAGTGTAACGGAACGCGCTATCGCGCAACGAATCTCCCCCTCACCTCGCCTCGCCTCGCCTCATCTCTCCCCCAGCCAGCTCTGCACGACTCGCCCCGTTGCTGCGTCGCCCACAGACTGTCTCTGCTAGGGGCTGTTCTTTTCGTTTTCCATGGGGCACTGTCGCAGGGCTGTACAACTCGCAACACCTCTCGCGCGCCCCGCGCAGTCTCCCAGTCCGACTGGCAATAGAGTCCATTGCTCTTCCGCACGCACACGCCGTCACCATGGCGTCCGCTTCCGGGCCGTCAACGTCAACGTCAACGTCAACGTCGGCCGTTGCCGATCCGTCGAAGTTCGGTTACCGATCAACGGCGGAGAAGACGTGACGGCGGGCGTCGACTTGACCGGCAAAGTGGCGATCGTAACCGGTGAGGCGCGTAACGCCGATCGTTCCGCGGTCGGCGTAGTTTGCGGTGGAGGGGAGGCTGGGGAGCCACATGGGGGAAGGGGAGATGTCGGGGAAAGCTGGTAAGGGTTGCGCCATGTGACATTGTCGCTGAGCCACGCTCGTAGCTGGTATGAGCCACCATGCTTGCCATCATGGCTCTCAACGCTCCTGCCTCCGCTTGAGCCGCCTGAGCCGCGTCACAAGCAATCTAATATCATGCGCCCCCTGACCCGCCACCGTGTTCCACCCCTTCCCCCTGCGTCCTCCCTCCCCCCGACTTCCCCCTGCCGCTTCTCCCCCCTCAAGGCGGCAGCAGCGGCATCGGCATGGAGACGGCGCGAGTGCTGGCGCTGCGTGGCGCATCCGTGGTGCTCGCGGTGCGCAACACGGAGGCGGGGGAGGCCGCCAAAGCCGCCATCGTCAAAGCCATTGAGGGGAAAATCGGGGCGGAAGCGGGGAGGTCGGCCCCGGTTGGGGAGCGCGTGAGCGTGATGGCGCTGGACCTGGCGTCGCTCAAGTCGGTGCGCGCATTCGCCGCGGATTACCTGCGGCTCAACCGCCCGCTGCATGTGCTCGTGTGAGCAGATGGGGGGGGGAGGAGACCAGATGGGGATGAGAAGGGGAGGGGGGAGAACCGCCCGCTGCACGTGCTCGTGTGAGCAAGGGGGGAGGGGTGGCTGTTGAAAAGGGGAGGGGGCGAAAGCCAGCAGCTGCACGTGCTCGTGTGAGCGGGGGCAGGAGAGCCAGGAGAGCCAGGAGAGCCAAAAGTCGAGAACCGCTCGCGGCACGTTCTCGTGTGAGGAGTTGGGAGGGGGGAAGAGGAGAAGGGGGGAGGGGAGGGGCCGAGAACGCTTTTGAGTCGACTCAAGAGGAGAAGGGGGGAGGGGAGGGGCCGAGAACGGGCGGCTGTACGCGCTCCTGTGAGGGCGACGGAGTGACTGCCGCACCTGCACACCTCCACACCTGCCCATCTGCATCGCACACCTGCCCGCCTGCCTGTCCTCCTGCCCGTCTGCCTGCCCTCCTGCCCGTCTGCCTGCCCTCCTGCCCGCCCACCTGCCTGCCTGCCTGCCTGCCCTCCTGCCCGTTTGCCTGCCCGCCCGCCTGCCTGCCTGCCTGCCTGCCTGTTCACTCCTCCTGCTCGCCTCACCTAATGCACATCGCCCCTTCCCCCTCTCTCTGCCCGCCCTTCCCCCGGTTCCTCCTCCTCCCCCTCCCGCACGCACCCCCACCGCCGCTTCTCCGGCAGCAACAACGCGGGTGTGATGCTGTGCCCCTTCATGCTGACGGCTGACGGCTATGAGAACCAGTTCGGCACCAACCACGTGGGTGAGTGGGGCAGCAAGCAAGCACAGGTGAGTGGCGAATGTGCTCTGCTGCGTGCTATCTTTGCCCAAGTGATGGTGCGAGCGATAGGATGAAACGCGAAGCAGAAGGTTACCAAAGCAAGGCTGCAGCAGACTGCAGCAGACTGCAGAATGTACCTGTTTTGGTGTCTTGACTGGGTAGGGAAGGAAACAACACACCTGGTGCCTGGGAGTGCTCTGAAAACAAGTGAAGGCTTGTTACCTGGGCTTTAGCACGTGAATTTGCCATTGTCATACCTGGGCAGCGTTTGCTCATCATCACAAGTTCCCTTTCTGTTCCACGTAGCCTCGCTTGCTGCTCTCTTCCCACTTCGCTTTACCCACTCCCCACCCCGTACCCTCCTCTACATAGGCCACTTCCTGCTCACCAACCTGCTTCTTCCGAAGCTGAAAGAAACGGCACAGCAGGAGGGCACAGAGACCCGCATAGTGCTCGTCTCCTCCATGGGGCACAAGTTGGCGTACCCGGATGCCATTCGGTTTGATGCTATCAATGCTAAGGAGGGCTATGACTCCATCAAGGCGTATGGGCAGTCCAAGCTCGCCAATATTCTCCACGCCAGGGAGCTGGCGAGAAGGCTCAAGGTGCACGTTGGGTGGGTGGGTGAGTAGGTGGGTGGGTGGGTGGGTGGGTGGAGAGGAGGAGTTTCACGTGTGTGTATCTGTGAGTGGGTGGCGCTAGGAGCCTTCAGTTCAGGGGCGTGACGCCATCTTGCTATGGAGTGGAGGAGTGCTGCGAGCGCGTCAAGGCGTTTGTATGGGGCAGATGGGGCAGATGGGGCAGATGGGGCAGATGGGGCAGATGGGGCAGTCCATCCCATCCAAGCTCCTTATCGTCTTATCGTTTGTGCGTGGTCCTCCTCCATTCAACGCTGGTCCGCCTATCCTCACATGCCATCTCACCCCCCCCTCCCCTCCCCACACCCCTGCTCCCCCCCCTTCCCCACCGTTACCCCTCTCCCTCACCCGCTCCCTTCCCCCCATCACACTTGCCTGCCCACACATACAGGGGGAGGGAGTAGGATTGACGGTGAACGGCCTTCATCTGGGATTGATTGGCACACAGCTCATAACAGCCGTTTCTCCCTCATGGAAAGTTTCCCACTCACTGCACTCCCTGCCCGTTCCCTCCCCTCCCTTCCCGTCTCCTCCCGTCTCCTCCCCCTCCCCCCCGCTCCCCGCCCCCCCCTCGCAACCCCTCCACGCATTTGCCAATCCCAACACGCGCATGAGAGCAGGAGGAGGGGGCAGCAGTGACAGTGAACGCGCTGCACCCGGGGGTCATCCACACCAACCTCTCGCGGCACATCGTGCCGCCAGGGACCATCTGGCACACGCTTGGACGTATGTGGGTGCGGTGGGGTGCGGTGGGGTGGGGTGGGTGGGTGGGTGGGAGCTCGGTGTGGGGGGGCTGGGGTGTGGTGTGGTGGGTTTGGAGGGGGGGATTATGGTCGAAACAGAGGCCTCTCACGACACATTAGGGATGACTCTCTGCCATGGTCGAAGCGGGGGTCGAAGCGGGGGTTGAAGCATGGGGTCCGTTGACATGCTTGCGGCATGGGGCGGGTGGGAGGTTTTATTTTCAGCCTTGATGTAACCTTTTTACTCGCTGGTACTCCTCGGACCAACGCGCTGGGGCAGGTTGGAACAGACCTCAAGATGGTCGTCCTTTTCCCCTGTCTCTCCCTTTCTCTTCCTGTCTCTCCCTGTCTCTCCCTGTCTCTCCCTGTCTCTCCCTTTCTCTCCCTGTCTCTCCCTTTCTCTTCCTGTCTCTCCCTGTCTCTCCCTGTCTCTCCCTGTCTCTCCCTGTCTCTCCCTTTCTCTCCCTTTCTCTCCCTTTCTCTCCCTTTCTCTCCCTGTCTCTCCCTGTCTCTCCCTTTGTCTCCCTTTCTCTCCCTTTCTCTCCCTTTCTCTCCCTGTCTCTCCCTGTCTCTCCCTGTCTCTCCCTTTCTCTCCCTTTCTCTCCCTTTCTCTCCCTTTCTCTCCCTGTCTCTCCCTTTCTCTCCCTTTCTCTCCCTGTCTCTCCCTGTCTCTCCCTGTCTCTCCCTTTCTCTCCCTTTCTCTCCCTTTCGCTCCCTTCCTCTCCCTTTCTCTCCCTTTCTCTCCCTTTCTCTCCCTTTCTCTCCCTTTCTTTCCCTGTCTCTCCCTTTCTCTCCCTTTCCCTCCCTTTCTCTCCCTTTCTCTCCCTTTCTCTCCCTTTCTCTCCCTGTCTCTCCCTTTCTCTCCCTGTCTCTCCCTTTCTCTCCCTTTCTCTCCCTTTCTCTCCCTGTCTCTCCCTGTCTCTCCCTTTCTCTCCCTTTCTCTCCCTTTCTCTCCCTTTCTCTCCCTTTCTCTCCCTTTCTCTCCCTGTCTCTCCCTTTCTCTCCCTTTCTCTGCCTTTCTCTCCCTTTCTCTCCCTGTCTCTCCCTTTCTCTCCCTGTCTCTCCCTTTCTCTCCCTTTCTCTCCCTGTCTCTCCCTGTCTCTCCCTTTCTCTCCCTTTCTCTCCCTTTCTCTCCTCTCTCCCTTTCTCTCCCTGTCTCTCCCTGTCTCTCCCTTTCTCTCCCTTTCTCTCCCTTTCTCTCCTTTTCTCTCCCTTTCTCTCCCTTTCTCTCCCTTTCTCTCCCTTTCTCTCCCTTTCTCTCCTATCCCATGCTGCGCAACCCATCATCAGAGGGTGCGTACTATCTGCTGTTCCAGTGGTTTATGAAGACCATTCCCCAGGTGCGCCCCAAGCGCTTCTTGCGCTGCTTGGATTGCTTGAGCTCATGGTTTGAGCTCATGGTTTGAGCTCGTGGTTTGAGCTCGTGGTTTGAGCTCGTGGTTTGAGCTCGTGGCTTGAGCTCGTGGTTTGAGCTCGTGGCTTGAGCTCCTGGCTTGTGCTTGTGCTGCCCACGGGCCCACATGAGATGTGAATAGAGACTGGTCAAGATAGAGGCATGTATGTATGTCTGCAGTGTTACATTCCTGCATAAGATCTGTGCACTCTCCATCCTGCTTCCCGTCTCCATCCCTGCACACTCCATCTCCCCTCCGCCCCCCAGCAGGCAGGGACAGCTACTTGCCAGCACACCCTCCACTTGCAGGAATGTCTGGGCCCTCCTGCCGCATATCACACTCCCTCGCATTCCTCCCTCTCGCGCCCCTCTCGCCCTCCGCCTTACAATCTCTCATGCCGTATTTCTCCCGTCTTCTCCCTCCTCCTCCCCCTCCTCCTCTCTCCGCCTCTCTCTTCCCCCGCAGGGCGCTTCCACTTCGTGCTTCCTACCAGCGCAACCCTCGCGGGCGGGCTTGAGCTGAGGCTACGACTGGAACAACCTTCATTGTTCCTCTCTCCCTCCTCTTGCTGGCAGGAGTGAGTGGGGGCTACCCCATTGACTCACCCACCCTTGCTTGTTCCTCTCTCCCTCATCCCTCCCCAGGGCGCTGCCACGTCGTGCTTCCTAGCAGCGCACCCCTCGCTGGCGGGCGTGAGCGGGGCTTACTTCGGGGACTCGCGGGAGGCGGAGAGCGAGGCGAACGACCTCAGCAGAGACATGCAGCTGGCGGGGAAGCTGTGGGACCTGAGCGAGCAGATGGCCAGCAAGGAATGAGGGTCTCTGGTCAGTGGTCACAGGAGGGATTGATTATGGGATATGATATCCGAAGATTGGAAAAGACTGCCTCTTGTAACGTGATGTGATCCTACATCTCCCTCGCATCCCATCGGATTTTCCTCATAGCGTACGGTATCAGTCGTGCGCTGTTCTGTGCCGTGCTGTTCAAGTGCTCAGTCTGGTGGTCCAAAGCTGTTGGGCGAACGAGACGAGATCTGTGACTCTGATGTGAGGTAGGCCCAATAAGAGGTTGTACCGGTAGGTTGGCACACAATACACGCTTTGTTGTACCAATGCTCTTGATGTGTTGCGTTAACAACTGGAGACCACAGCATAGCCCAGCTCAGTGTCCTGCACAAGCTGAACAACCTCCCAACAAGTGCTGTATTGATATGTGTTACACTGGAATAGAAAGCTGTATGACTGCCCTTTTTAATGGCTGTATGGAAAACCGCATGTGGTATTGCCATAGCAGGTGCAGGTGGCACCCTTCACTGCACTTGCTTCGCTGGTGCCTTGAACTACCAGTATTACTGCTCCCTTACCCCAGCCTTCTATGCTGCTCTTCTTCTTCAGTAGCTCCCAAATTTCCTTTCAAATCCCACATCCCCTTGGCAGGTATGTTAGGTATCCTACAGTACTCACCGCCTCTCCCCCTCTCTCCCCCCTCCCCGCAGCGCTTTTCTTCATGCAGCAGCCGCACCAGGCCAGGTCTTAAAAGGTGCGAAAAACGCCCCCAGATACTCTTTGGTCCTCGCATCCATCTCGTCCCCCGGCACGGCTTCCTCCCTCCCTGTCCCTCCTCCCCCCACCGATGTATCACCTCCTCTCCCTCTTCCATGCATACTTCTCATCCTTCAGCAGCCGCACCAGATCCTCATTATAAGGCGCAAAAAACGCCTCCAGGTACTCTCTCGTGGCCTCATCCATCTCCTCGCGCTGCATGCCCTCCGGCCGTTGCTCCACTCTCTCAAGGTCGATGACCCCCGCCCACTGCTCCTCTGCGATATCGGCGGGGGGGAAGCCGAGGAAGTCGAGGGTGGTGGCGATGTGCGGGCGCGGATTGGCCATGTAGTCCTCAAAGCGCAGGAAGAGGAAGGATTGAGGGTGGAAGGAACGGAACCAGTCCTGGGGGGGGGGAGAGGCGGGGGGGGTGTGGGGGGTGCGGGAGAACAGGGGTGGTGAGAAGAGGGAGCAGAATGTGGGAAAGTGGGATGGGGGCGAATGGGAAGTGTTGAGGGGCCCAGCAGAGTGACTCAATGCGGGTTGGCCATGTAGTTGTCGAAGCGCAGGAAGAGGAAGAGGAAGAGGAAGAGCTGCGGGTGGAAGGAGCGGAACCAGTCCTCGTGAGAGGGGGGGAGGGGAGGAGTGGAGAGGGTGAGTGAGTTTCTGGGAGGGTGCGAAAGGGGTGGTTGAGATCTCTTGGTGGCCTGGTTGGTATGGGAGAGAGTAGCTGGTAGTATGGACCAGGGGGCAATCTAATGTGCACGAACCTGTACTAATCTCCAGTGAAATCCGACGCACATGGTTACCAAACAGGTCACCAAAGGGCCAGGTTAGTAAAGAGCCAGGTTAGTAAAGAGCCAGAGTTACCTGTATGAAGTAGGAGTACATGGAGCCGCATAGGTCCGGCATGTCTCGGAACAGCTTGCGCACACATGCGTGCACCCCCTCAATCTCCACACATGCCCTCATGCGCGCTGTGGCATCTCGAGACTGGGCAGGGTAGTGGGGCGGGGGGATTAGGGGGGTGGAGAGCAGGTAGGCAAGGAAAAGAAGAATTCGCATGCAGCCCCTCCTTCTCCAGACATGCTCTCATGCGTGGGTTCCAGAACACGAGATTGGAAGGAAAATATGTCTGGACGCTCTTCCTGTCTTTGAAAATGCCTCGAATGACTTCACTATTCCTCTCTCTCTCCTCACACGCTCTCATGCACGCCGTGGCGTCTCGATTCTGGGGGGATGAGGAATGGGGATCAGATAGGGCAGGAGAGGCGGACTGGGAGACGCGAAAGGGTAGGGACAAGGGGGAGACAGCCAAGGGGGACTGAGGATTCTGGGTGGATGAGGCATGGGAACAGATAGGGGAGGGAGGGAGGCTGTGAGAGCTGAAAGGGTTGGCGGTAAGAACAAGGGTACAGGGGGGAGACAACCACGGGGGACTGGGGATAGGAAAGTGCAGAGAGGGAGGTGGGGGAGAGGAGTGTGGGGAGTGGTGATGGTATGAATGGGAGGGGAGATAGGTTGGCATGGTGGCTGCAGAGGACACACACAGAGGTGCAATGCGGTGCAGTGTAAGGCAATGCAATGCCTGCACTACGCTGTGGTGCAATGCAGCACGGCGGCCACTCACGTATTTGACAAAGTCTCTGGGAACAGCAGGTGAGGGGTTCACAGCAGCAGCCAGATTGAACTCGGAGAAGAACCTGCGGTGGGCAGAGGGAGGGAGGAGAGGAGAGAACAACAGAGGTTTGTATTTTTCAGTCGATTCGAAATCCCTCTCTGGGGACAGCGGGTGAGGGGTTCACAGCAGTAGCCAGAATGAACTCGGAGGGAAACCTGCGGGAAGAGAGGAGCGAACAAAGGGGAGAAGTCTCTCAGTCGATTCAGCATCCCTCTCTGGGGACGGCGGGTGAGAGGTTCACAGCAGCAGCAGCAGCAGCAGCAGCTAGATTGAACTCGGAGTGGAGCCTGAGGTGAGGAGCGAGAGGGAGGAGAGGAGAAGAACGGAGTAAGACTTTGAGTCAACTTAAAACCCCCCTATGGGGACAGCGGGTGAGGGGTTCACAGCAGCCGCAGCCAGATTGAACTCGGAGGGGAACCAGCGGTGCTGGGAGAGGGAGGGATGGGAGGGGTGAGCAGCTGAGACATATATGTTTGAGTCGATTCAGCATCCCCCTATGGGGACAGCGGGTGAGGGGTTCACAGCAGCCGCAGCCAGATTGAACTCGGAGGGGAACCAGCGGTGCTGGGAGAGGGAGGGATGGGAGGGGTGAGCAGCTGAGACATATATGTTTGAGTCGATTCAGCATCCCCCTATGGGGACAGCGGGTGAGGGGTTCACAGCAGCCGCAGCCAGATTGAACTCGGAGGGGAACCAGCGGTGCTGGGAGAGGGAGGGATGGGAGGGGTGAGCAGCTGAGACATATATGTTTGAGTCGATTCAGCATCCCCCTATGGGGACAGCGGGTGAGGGGTTCACAGCAGCCGCAGCCAGATTGAACTCGGAGGGGAACCAGCGGTGCTGGGAGAGGGAGGGATGGGAGGGGTGAGCAGCTGAGACATATATGTTTGAGTCGATTCAGCATCCCCCTATGGGGACAGCGGGTGAGGGGTTCACAGCAGCCGCAGCCAGATTGAACTCGGAGGGGAACCAGCGGTGCTGGGAGAGGGAGGGATGGGAGGGGTGAGCAGCTGAGACATATATGTTTGAGTCGATTCAGCATCCCCCTATGGGGACAGCGGGTGAGGGGTTCACAGCAGCCGCAGCCAGATTGAACTCGGAGGGGAACCAGCGGTGCTGGGAGAGGGAGGGATGGGAGGGGTGAGCAGCTGAGACATATATGTTTGAGTCGATTCAGCATCCCCCTATGGGGACAGCGGGTGAGGGGTTCACAGCAGCCGCAGCCAGATTGAAATCAGAGGGGAACCAGCGGTGTTGGGAGAAGGAGGGAGGGGGGGAGAAGACGAAAGAGGAATGATAATAGATTACCACCACTTGCGCTTCATCTTTTCCTTCTCATCGCTACGCCTTGCGCCACCCCTGCTCTCCTCTCTCTCCTCCCCTCCACTTTATTCACTCTCCCCTCCTTTCCTCCCCTTCACCCTTCCCTCCCACCCTTCTTCTCCCCCCCCCCCCTTCACCTGTCAACGGGGTTCCTCAGAATGACGATGAACTTGCTTCGGGGCAGCACCAGGTGCAGCAGCTGCGGCACGGTGTGCCGCTCGTCCACACGCCCCCGCAGCACCACGCCCGAGCTCGTCAGCAGCGTGCTCGACGCCTCCCCTGTCACCCCGCTGCCCCCCGTGTTCACTATGTGCTGCGCCGCCTCGTCGAACAGGGACACGTACCACGCGAAATCCTTTGCCCCGTTGCGGTCCCACCTGAGAGGGAAGGAGTAGAGTTGCGTGGAGAGGAAGGGCCAGGGAGTGTGGTGAGAGGAAGGGAGGGAGGAAGGAAGGGAGAGGAGGGAGAGGGAATGTGGTGGTGGATAGAGTCAGTCTGGGGAAGGCAACAGAGGCGAAGGAGGGAGGGCAAGAGAGGCCAAGGGAGAGCAACGGAATGTGAGGGAGGGCAGGAAAAGGGTGAGGGAAGAGGGGAGTGGGTTATAACAGCACATCGTTACGAAAGTCACCTCGTTACGAAAGTCACCTCGTTGCAAAAGTCACCTCGTTGCAAAAGTCACCTCGTTGCAAAAGTCACCTCGTTACAAAAGTCACCTCGTTACAACGGCACGGCACGGCACGTACCACTGGGGGTTGGGGATGGCAGCTGGGAAAATGCCTGGGATGATGGACGAGGTGAGCTTGCGGTATAGGTCCTGGGTGCCGGCCCTGGGGGGGGGGTGAGGCGAGGGAGATGGAAGACGGGGAATGAAGGGGCTGGTGAACGAGAGAGGACGGGAGGACGGGAGGATTGGATGATTGGATGATTGATGCACAAGGTGAGCTTTTTTAGAATTCTAAAAGCCCAACGAGGTGAGCTTGCGGTACCGGTCCTGATTGGCCGCCCTGGGGGTGTGGATAAACGCGTGGTATGTAGGGGTGAGAAGGGGCAGGGGGGAAGTGCGAGAAGGAGCAGCGAGGGACGGCGGCCACTGACGTGAAGGCGCACGAGCAAATGGGGCTGGTGTTGGTGACGTCACCGGCACAGTGTTGGCGGTGACATCACCAAGAGCAGGAACCAAAGAAAAGGAGGGGTGGAAGCAACCAGAAGAAGGGCTGGGGTGGAATCCAAAAAAGTGTCCGAAGAAGCGTCCGAAGAAGCGTCCGGAGAAGCGATCGAAGAGTAAGAACCACGGCAAGCAGCACACCTGGTGGCACCGACGGTGAAGGCGTACGGCAGGCAGTGCACCTCCCCCCCCGAATCCTCCCATTCCCCGCATTCTCTTTATTCTCCCATTCTCCCCATTCTCCCCATTCTCCCCATTCTCCCCATTCCCAACATTCCCCCCACCTGGTGGCTCCGATGATGAGGAAGTACGGCAGGCAGTGCACCTCCCCCGCATTCCCCTGCACGCGCCAGCACGGGTTCCTCATGCTGCCATCCATGCCGTCCCTTGGCAGCAGCTTGAACTCCTCCCCGAACTTGAACCACATGTCCCGCGCCACTGCACTCTCCCCCCCCGTCCCCCCCTGCTGCGCCAGCGACGCCCCTCCCCCCACCCTCTCCTCCCACTTCGCCCCACCCGCACCCGCACCCGCCTCCCCTCCTCCACCGCCCCCTCCTATGGCCCCTGATGCGGCTCCCACACTCTCAGATCCATCCACTCCTCCTGGGCCCATCCCCCCTCCTACTGCTCCTCCGCTATCACCCCCCACAACAGCAGCAGCAGCAGCACCACCAGCAGCAGCAGGGAGGACAGCAGCGTCAGGATCAGGCAGCAGAGCGGGCGAGACGTGCTCCTCATTTAGCAACTTAGTATCGTCGAACTCCTGGGCCTCTAGATCGGAGTCGGAGCCCTGCAGCGCGCGGCACAGCACGAGGCCCTGCTGGGACCCCGCCACCACGAGCAGCACCTCCAGGTGCGCCAGGCCCTGCACGGGCGCTGGCGTGGGGTCCTGGGCGGCCGCTGGGCGGCCCAGTTGCCCGTGCTGGTTGTCGCCCCTGCAGAGAGAAAAGATGGGAGAGTGGGAGGGGGTGGAGGGGGTGGAGGGGGTGCTAGAGACAACTGCCACCACGAACAGCACCTCCAGGTGCGCCAGGCCCTGCACTGGCGCTGGCGTGGGGCGGACTAGCTGCCCGTGCTGGTTGTCTCCCCTGCATGACAGAGGTGAGAGAGAGGACGTAGTGGAGGGGGGAGGGGGGGGGGGGGGGGGAGTGGGGGGGGGGTGATGGGGAGGGTATGCGGGGCGCGCTTTTCAGGACAGGTGAGCTTCAGGGCGACTCGACGTGCTGGTGGGGTATGCAGAACTCGAGGGAATAGTATCAAGCGCGCTGCGCTGCACACACACCACTCTCGTTCCAATGAAAGAAAACACAATACTCACCAGGAGTACACCACCCCATGGCTCATTCTCGCCACAGCAAAACCCTCCCCAGCCGACACCTGCTCCACAGTCTGCTGCTCCAGGCCATTTCCCACAACCCCTGGCCTACTAGCCGGCACCTGCTTTTCTCCCTCCCCCCACTCCCGCCCCAACAGCGGGCCCGGCTCCCCCCACGACACCGCCTTGTAATCCGACGTCACCGCAAACGTCGTATGGTGCGCCGCTGCCACGGACTGCACCTCCGGCCCGCTCCCCCCTCCCTCACCACCACCAGCACCACCAGGGTGGGAGCCTAGATGGGGCGGGACGCGCACAGGGGCCGGCCGGTCAAGGGGAGCAGAGGGGCCCACTCCCAGCCAGGACCGGTGCTGTTCCAGGTTGATGCGGATCCCCTGAGGGCTGAACCCAGTGCTACAGACTAGGACTATCCCTGACCCTGTGAGTGCCACCCAGTGGTCTGTGCCCACGTCTACCTCTACTATCTGCTCGCTCTCTACCCCTGCCTCCACCACCCGTGGCTGCGCTGCTGCTAGCGCGGCGTTCAGTAGCCGCTGCCGCCACGCTGCCCTGCTGCTGCTGTCCCCACTGCTGCTGCTCGTGCCAGACCCATCACCACCGCTGCCATCAGCAGCGTCGTCATCAAAGCCCGAGTCGTACTCGTGCTGCCAGGGCGCGTCGCCCGTGTAGAGGTTGGCGCCCCAGGTGAAGAGGCGCCCGTGCTGGCTGATGGCGAGCGTGAAGTAGCGCCCCGCCACGATCGCCAGGATGCGCTCGTGGGACAGCGGCCCGCCCACCAGGCCAGGCCGGAAGCCCTCCTCCTGGGAGGGGGACAGGGTGGGATGGGATGGGTGGGATGGGTGGGAGGGAGGGAGTGAGGAAGCGCGCGTGGGTTGCCTTGCTGTTTTTCCTTCTCCGGAAGTGCGCTTGTTTGTGTGGGGGACATGCGTGTGTGTGCGGTCCTGTTGGGGCTGTGCGCGGGAGCCAGTGCTGGCTGACGGCGAGGGTGAAGTAGCGCCCTGCCATGATGGCCAGGATGTGCTCGTGGGAGAGCGGCCCACCCACCAGGCCAGGCCGGAAGCCCTCCTCCTGGGACGGAGGTGTGGAGGGAGGGCGGTGGGGGATCGGGGGAGAGGGGGGAGTGGGGAGAGGGGAAAGAGTGAGCATGTGATTCGCTGCTCTGTGTGTGTGGTGTGGGGGAGGAAGGGAGCGGCGGGAGGGGCGGAGGCATTCAAGTGGAAGCTAGTGCTTTCTGTGCGAATGGGAAAGTATAGCAGAGGAGGGAGGGGAGGGCAAGGCGGAGCGGAAGGGGTTGAGTGTGATGGGAGACGATGAGACGACGGGGAGCGGACTGGTAGGAGGGATGCACGGCATGGCATGGCACGGCAGGCCATGGGGAGTGTCAACAGGAGAAAACGTGAACGGAATGGGACCCTCGCGTCCCCTCCCCTCCACCACACCCTCCACTCACGTCCCTCTCCCACCACTTCCCCAACCTCCCCTCCCTCCCACCCACCCCCCTCCCCCCTCCCCAGCACCCCTTCCCCACTCTCACTTTACTCTTTGTCGGCCGGCCCAGCTGCCCCCTGTTATTCAGCCCCCACGTGAACACCCTCCCACTCTCCATCACAGCCACAGAGTGATACTGCCCAGTAGCCACCGCCACCACTTGCCCCTCCCCCGTCAGCCCCTCCACGGGCGCAGGCCGCCAGAACGCGCCATCGGCGCGCCCTAGCAGCCCCGCGGGCCGCCTGCGCGCGTCCCAGTCGCGCCCCCACGACAGCACCACGCCCCCGGGAGTCACTGCCAGGGTATGCCCGCTCGCCGCCACTGTAGACACCCCCACGCGCCGCAGCACCCCGCCCACGCGCATCGCCTGCGCGAAATCGTCCGCGGACACCGCGCCCCCCGCGCCCCCCCCGCTCCCCGCGCTCCCTCCGTGGCTAGCGGGCTGCTTCCACGCCATGCGGTAGGCGAGCGCGGGGCCCGTCCAGCCGTACAGGTACCCCGCCTCGCTGCCGTCCCTGATGCGCCACGGCGGCTGTGTGAAGACGCGCTCGGCGCGAAGCGACGCGGGGTCGGCCGTGGCGGAGAGAGACACGTAGGACGGGCCCGAGGAGAACGCTGGGGGAGGGGGGGCGGGAAGGGGGGAGGGGGTTGGAATGGGAGGGTGGGGGGAATGGGGGATGGGGTGGTGGATGGGGATTGGGATAAGGGAGGGTGTTGGATGGCAGTAGGGACAGGGTATGGGAGAAAAAAGCACTCGCAGTGTCACAACAGCAGTGCACATAGACGTGCTCTGCAGCTGCGTTCTAGCTATGTGATGACCCTGCCCTGGACTCGCCTACTTCCCCGCTTCCTCGTGACCTCCCCTTCCTCCTCCGCCAACTCGCCCTTCCCTCTCCTCGCTCTCCTTTTCCTCATGGATTTTGCCTTATCCATCCACACCATTGACTTCCCCTTCCCCGTCCCCCCCCCCTTTCCCCGCCCCCTTCCCCGCCCCCTCACCATTCCCCCTCGCCCTTCCCCCCCCCCCCCTCCCCCGCGTCCCTACCATCCCAAATGGCCGATCCACCTCCCGACACCAGCGCGATCAGCAGCAGCAGCAGCACGCAGCACACGGCCACGCCCCCTCGCCGCTTGTCCGCCGTCCCCGCGACATCGCCCCCCACCACCCCCGGCATGCTCAGCCGAAACGACCCTCCGCCTCCCCCTCCGCCGCCGCCACCAGTGCTGCGACCCGGCGATCGCAGCGGGCCTGGCGCGGAGGTGGAGGACGTGGATACGCGGCGGTATGATGTGACATTAACGAAGGGTAGCCAGGAGAAGAAGGAGGCCGCGGAGGAGGAGGACGAGGCGCCGGAGGGGACGGACGCGCTGAAGGTGGAGTTGAGGGTCAGGAGCCCGCGGTGCCGGCCGCCAGGCGGGCCGCTGCCGCCCGGCTGCCGGCGAGTGGTTGACGTGAACATAGGGGGAAATAGAGGAGGATGGGAGTGGGCCGCGGGCGGATGGGGGGTGGATGGGGGAGACGAGGGGGGGATGGGGAGGATGCGGGGGAGATGGGGGGTGAGGGATGGACTGGCGACTGCTGCTAGCGGTGGCCGGAAAATGAACGATCTATCGAGGAGTGCGGAGATTTGAGACTATATCGGGACTTGTGGAGCGAATAGACGCGAGGAATCTGGCCAATATGCTATCGGTGGCTGCTGGGACGGATAAGTTCCCGATCAAAACAAAGAACTATACCAAGCGGTAAAAGGACATTTTGAGGCCGAAGATTCGTAACAAAGCGACGAGGCGAACAGTCTGGCAACGACGAGGCGAACAGTCTGGCAACACCGACGCTAGGAGGTACGCCTTCCGTATACGCCGGCCGTTTCCGTAACTGCGAATGCTCAGCGCCTATACGAAACCATGGCTGCCAGCCATCACTGGAACTGCTAGGCTACTTAAGGACATTCTTCCCCCAACTGCTGTTTGGAGGGTGGGAGGAGCAGATTCAAATCTAGGCACCGACTCGGGCGGAGTTCCCACAAGGCGGATCTAGCCGCGGAATCGCGTATTCGCGTTGCGGGCAGGTTCACGTACTGCTGATGTAGAACTATATGAGGATGTAGTTTCTTGCAAATAAGTTCAGGTACGGTTTCTCATTGAAATTCCAGGCGATAATTGGACTAGACCAGGGCTTAAGAAGTCAGGACAAAATGACCTGAAATGCTGTACAGCAGGGTTTTTTTTTTTTTTTTTTTCTGTTTTTTCAGCTTTTGTTTTTTCCTAGGCCTGAATTTTAGGGGTTCTCATTTGAGCACGCCTGAAATATTGTATTGTGAAAGCTTGATTAGGTCCTCTTATAAATGAAGCGTGCTTCATTTCATCTGGGAAACATGCATCGTTCTCGTCCAACAAAGAACTACACACACAAGAGGGTGGGTGGGCGGGGATTTTGAACTAGAGAAACTAGAAATGAAGAGCATGGGTGAGGACGAATTGCCTTACGTCCCTCTTTTGTAGGTAAAACAGGGTGAGTAGCGCTTTGACACTGCCTTTGCTGCGTTGGCCCTCGCTACACTTTTACAATACACATTTTTAGAAAGTGTTACACAGTAAAAAAAAAAAAAAAAAAAAAAACATATGTTCATGTTTTGGTCATCCTAAACTATCAGCCTTCACAGATTTCCAGCCTGAAACAGAATCCTATCTGACTGGCCGAGGCGAGCTGGTAGCAGCTGTGAGGGGTGTGACTGGTCCTTCGCCAAAATCACGTAGGTGACGCAAACTGGATCAGTTGTGAGGGGCATGATTGGTCCTTCGCCAAAATCACGCAAGCAGTTTCATGCGAGCTGGAGCAGGTTGTCAAACATGTCTATTTGTTATGTTTGTATAGACTGTATAGGGTAGCCTCTTAGAGGGTACAACACTTAGCTATATTGTGTGTACTCTCTCTCTATGATCAACACTTGAATTTCTGATATGGTATCACGCATAGGTAGGATCCCCCCCCCCCACCTACCGCTTCCGCTCGCCCCCCTAGCCCCGTCGCGACCCCCTCTAGCCCCGTCGCGCCCCTTCCTGGGACCCGTCGCGCCCCTCCCTGGGCCCCGTCGCGCTCCTTCCTGGGCCCCGTCGCGCCCCTTCCCAGGCCCCGTCGCGCCCCTCCTGGGCCCCGTAGCGCCCCTCCTGGGCCCTGTAGCGCCCCTCCTGGGCTCTATCGCGCCCCTCCCAGACCCCGTAGCGCCCCTCCTGGGCCCCGTCGCGCCCCTCCCAGGCCCCGTAGCGCCCCTCCTGGGTCCCGTCGCGCCCCTCCCAGGCACCGTAGCGCCCCTCCTGGGACCCGTCGCGCCCCTCCTGGGCCCTGTAGCGCCCCTCCTGGGCCCCGTCGCGCCCCTCCCAGGCCCAGTCGCGCCCCTCCTGTGCCCCGTAGCGCCCCTCCTGGGCCCTGTAGCGCCCCTCCTGGGCTCTGTTGCGCCCCTCCCAGACCCCGTAGCGCCCCTCCTGGGCCCCGTCGCGCCCCTCCCAGGCCCCGTAGCGCCCCTCCTGGGTCCCGTCGCGCCCCTCCCAGGCCCCGTAGCGCCCCTCCTGGGACCCGTCGCGCCCCTCCTGGGCCCCGTAGCGCCCCTCCTGGGACCCGTCACGCCCCTCCTGCGCCCCGTAGCGCCCCTCCTGGGTCCCGTCGCGCCCCTCCCAGGCCCCGTCGCGCCCCTCCTGGGCCCCGTAGCGCCCCTCCTGGGCCCTGTCGCGCCCCTCCTGGGCCCCTGCAGTGCCCCTCCTGGGCCCCCCGTCGCGCCCCCCCGGTCCTGTCGCACCAGCCCGGCCCCGTCGCCCAAACCCAGCCCCGTCCTGCTCGCCCGGCCCCGTCGCAGCCGCCCGGCCCCGTCGCATCAGCCCGGCCCCGTCGCGCCCGCCCGGCCCCGTCGCACCGGCCCGGCCCTGTCGCCCACGCCTGGCCTAGTCGCCCCTGCCCGGCCCCGTCGCGCTCGCCCGGCCCCGTCGCCCCGGCCCGGCCCTGTCGCACCAGCCCGGCCTTGTCGCGCCCGCCCGGCCCCGTCGCGCCCGCCCGGCCCCGTCGTCCTTGCCCGGCCCGGTCGCACCTGCCCAGCCCCGCTGCCCCGACCCCGTCCTCCTCACTGGTACGGTTCCCCCCCCACCCCACCCAGCACTGCCCTGCACCGTACCGTCACGCACCACCCTGTACTGCCTTACACCGCACTGCACCGCATTGCACCGCACCGCACCGCACTGCACCGCATTGCACCGCATTGTACCGCACTGCACCGCACTGTACCGCACTGCACCGCCCTGCGCCGCACTGTACCGCACTGCACCGCACTGCACCGCGCTGTACCGCACTGCACTGCACCGCCCTGCACCGCACTGGACTGTTCCTGATGGCGGCGGAGCTTCGCTTCGACGCTGAAGGTCAGCCCCTAGAGTTCGAGGCGTGGCTTGCCGACCTCCGCCGCCAACTTACTGGCCAGCGGCAGGATGGTGAACCGCTTTCCGCACACCTTGACGGTACGCTCCCCTGCCCAGACCCTCCTGCTATTCTGCCCGCTGACCCCACACCCACTGAGCGTGAGTCTACTGCTGCCACTGCCCGTGCGCGCTCTGTCTGGCTTTCTCGTGATGCTGTCGCCCAGCTTGCCATTAGCAACGCCCTTCCCCAGTCCGAGCGTCCTCGCTTTAGGTCCCTCACTACTGCTCAGACATACTTAGATGCTGTCATCAAGCGCTATTCCACCCCTCCGGCTGCCTCGGTGGGTCGCCTGATCCTCCCGCTGCTCTTTCCTGACCTTGCATCTTTCCCCACTGTCTCTGACCTCGCTGCCCACCTGCGCTCGATAGAGGAGACCTGGCGCGCCGCCTGCACTGACGCACAGCTTAGAGCCCACCAGCCGCCCATTACCTCTACCCTCTACCTGCTTGCCACCCGCCTCCCTGACCGCCTTGCTGTCGCCCGCGACCGCTTCCTTAGTGTTCACCCCGCAGACCTCACCCTCACTGACTTTGTCGACACCCTGACTGTGATAGAGACCCGTCACCGCTCCATCGCCCAGGCGAGCGGTGTTGTGCCGGTCCCTATCTTTCAGGGTTGTGCCCCCGCTCAGTGCACCTTCTCCGACGGCTCTGCCGCAGTGGCTGAGACTGCTGCTGCAACGCAGGCCCGTTCTGGGAAGGGCCGCCGCCCCAAGGCTGGGCGCGGCGGAGGGGGCGGCGGGGGTGCGGGCGGGGGTAGTGGTGGGGTCGGGTCGCCTGGTGCTGGAGCAGACGAGGGGACCCTGCCCAGTCCAGCTGAGTCGCCGCCCCTGCAGTCGCAGCAGCCGCAGCAGCCGCCGCAGTCGCAGCCTTCGCAGCAGCCGCAGCAGCCGTCGCAGACGCGGCAGACGAGTGTTCTCCCGCCAGGGTGGCCCGGCGCTGGAGGTGGACGGGCGCGTAGTGGTGTGCTGCGTGGTGGCTCTGCTGGCGGGCGTTGTCAGTACCAGATCCAGACCGGTCCTCGCCGCGGCTTCGTTTGCGGTAAGATCGGTCACTCCACTCCCCGCTGTTTTCGTCGCCTGGACGACCTCTTTCGTCAGCGCTTCGGCCAGTCGCCAGACCTCCCGGACTGGCACAGTTTACTTAGTCGTCAGATTCAGATCTTTGATATGGACATGGATGCCATTGTTTCTGCTCTGCATGTGATGTATGCTGATGACTCTAGTGTGCTTCCCGCTTATTACTCACTGTTGCCTAGTGTAGGTGTGCCTAGCTTAGCCTCCCCTGCTGCGTCAGGCGTAGGATCCCCTGCTTTGTGTAGTCTTCGTGCTTCTGCCGTCGTTCCGTCGCCAGACCCCTCGGCTTCGCTTTCCTTCACCTTGGACTCTGGCTGTGAGAGTACGACTCCGTTACACCACTTGGCCTTTTCCATATTTCATCTTCATTTCATTCCTCTTTTTATCTCATCGCCTTTTGCCTCATATTCCCCATTTTCCATTATCCTTTGGTTTCTTCCTTTATTATTATTATATCACCGACCAGGCATGGAATGTTCTAGACACGCTATCTAGCGTAATCCTGCCGTAATCTCTTAAAGCCAATAGCCTCGCGTGGCTATACGCAGGGTGATTCTATCTTCTAGAAGGGTCTATTCCCTTAGGATAAGATAAACCTGGTTACCTGATGTACTCTGGAAGTATAAAAGCGCCTTGTACTGATCGATAGTGCAACCTTTCCTCGACACATTCGATCCTGTGACACTTGGTAATCAGAGCTTTTCTCACTCGGCCGCGCTCAGCTAAGCAGCAGCAGCGGGGATCCTGCCTCGAAAAACCGCCGGGGGCGACCAATTCGACGCCGATTCTGGTAAGCACCAGCTCCGCGATTTTCGAATTACCCCCTCCGTGCGTGTTTTGAACAGGATGGCAACCTTCGACAACACCGAGGTTACCCAGCAGCTCTTCGCGCGCATCGCAGCCCTTCAGGAGGAAATGCGAGCAGATCGCGAAGCGTGGCGAAACCAGTTCGAGCGAGTAACTCGACTCGCCGGAGCGCAGCACGAGACGACAACGGCGACGACGCAGCAGTCGCAGCAGTTTCTCGAGGCTCCGAAACCGCGCCCACCTGAGCCGTTCGATCCGAGCGATCGAAACTCCGACGCCCGCAGATGGATCGCCGGGATGGAGATCTACTTCGCAGCCGTCGGATGGAGCTCGCCAGTCTGGGACGGTCAACGCGTACGACTCGCGGCGACACTGATGCGAGGGCCGGCACTCGAGTGGATTGGCGGCAACAGTACTTTCATCCACGGTGAAGCCACGTGGCAGCAGTTCCGCGCCGACCTGCTGAAACGATTCGAGCCGATAAATTCGAGTTTTCTTGCCCGCGAAAAAATTCATCGTCATCGACAGTTCGGGAGTGTATCACAGTACACGCAGCAGATGGAAGAATTTTATAACCGCATTCCCGACCTGACCGAAGGGGAAAAAGTGCAAT